CAGCTACTCTGGAGGCCGAGGCAGGCGAATCCCTTGAGCCCAGGAGGTGCAGACGGCAGTGAGCTGAGATCATGCCACTGCACTCCAACCTGGTCAACTGGCTCGAAAAAAAGGGGTGGCTGGGCATGATGGATCATGCCTGTGATCTTAGCACTTTGGGAGGCCAAGGTGGGCTTAAGTCATCTTAAGTCAGGAGTTCGAGACCAGGCTGGCTAAATGGTGAAACCCTGTCTCTACTAAAAATAAAAAACAAAAAAATTGCCAGGTATAATGGTGGGCACCTGTAATCCCAGTTACTGGAAAGGCTGAGGCAAGAGAATCATTTGAACCCAGGAGGCAGAGGTTGCAGTGAGCTGAGATCACAACATTGCACTCCAGTCTGGGCAAAAAGAGCAAAGCTTTGCTCAAAAAAAAGAAGGGTGGATGAATTTGGGTTCAGGTGAGTGGGTGAGTTTATTGGTTGTCATTAGTGGTGACATATTGACTTCTGTATATATAATCTAATAACTTAAAACTTCTTTAAATTATACAGATGAGGCCGGGCGCGGTGGCTCAAGCCTGTAATCCCAGCACTTTGGGAGGCCGAGGCGGGTGGATCACGAGGTCAACAGATTGAGACCATCCTGATCAACATGGTGAAACCCGGTCTCTACTAAAAATTACAAAAAAAAAATTAGCTGGGCACGGTTGCACGTGCCTGTAATCCCAGCTACTCAGGAGGCTGAGGCAGGAGAATTGCCACCTAGGGGGCGGAGGTTGCGGTGAGCCGAGATTGCGCCATTACACTCCAGCCTGGGTAACAAGAGCGACACTCCGTCTCAAAAAAAAAAAAAAAAAATTATACAGATGAGACTGAGAATTTAAAATTTTCTATCTATAGGACATGTGCATTCTATAAATCTTGGCAGAAGAATTTAGCTTCCACGTGGAGTCCCTATTCAGCCAGACAGCAGTGACCTGCTCAGTTGTGAGTCACTCTCTTTTCCCACGGTGGGGTAGGAAATGGAAGAGTGAAGTGAAAATTAAAAAAAAAAAAAAAAATTACTTTCTGTTATATAATAGTTTTAATTGTTTTTTTTTTTTTCTTTTTTTTTTTTGAGATGAGTGTCGCTCTTTTTACCCAGGCTGGAGTGCAATGGCATGATCTTGGCTCACCGCAACCTCCGCCTTCTGGGTTCAGGCAATTCTCCTGCCTCAACCTCCTGAGTAGCTGGGATTACAGGTACGTGCCACCATACCCAGTTAATTTTTTGTATTTTTAGTAGAGATGGTATTTCACCATGTTGACCAGGATGGTCTCGATCTCTTGACCTCGTGATCCACCCGCCTCGGCCTCCCAAAGTGCTGGAATTACAGGATTGAGCCACCGTGCCCGGCCAATAGTTTTAATTGTTAAAACACGAGCTCTGAATGAAGAGACCCCCAAACGGGCTTTGTGTGAGCAACATGGCTATTTATTTGCCTAATTGCCGGCGGGCTGAGGCCAAAAATGGCATCAGCGAAGGGGGGTGGGATAGGAGTAGGGTTGTATAGGTTTGGGATTAACAGTGGAAAGTTACAGCAGTTACAGTTGGTGGTGTTTTGCAAGCTGAGTGGGGGATCATAGGGTGTGGAGTCAGGAGGTTGGGCCAAGGTAAGGTCAGTTACAAAGTCCAATGGCCTTGTTAATTGAGGCCAGAATAAGAAACAATAGAAGGATGTCTCAGGTTAGTTAGGCACAGCAGGGGTTGATCATTCTTCCTTCCAGCTACTTCAGGTTTTCTAACTCCGGAAGGCCCTCCAGAGGTGTTCGTGCAGTTCATGGGGTCGCCATGCTGTCCAAAGTGTGGCCAAAGCTTACATTCCTGTCTTTTTATATTACTAACATAAAGGAAACAGAAATGAAGAGTGGGGGCAGCGGAATATCAGGAAGGCCGGCACAGAGGGGTGATGGGCGATGTTTCTCAGGGCTTTTTTGAGCAGGATTGGGGGCAGCACAGAGACCTAAAAATGGAAAGCAATTTAGACTCCTGGGAGATCTCGGGGAAACGGGTGATATTGTGGGGTTGTTAGAAGGAGCATTTGTCGTATTGACTGATTGGTTATTGCTTGTACATGATTTTGAAGAAACAGATTAATCAGAGAAGCACAGAGTCCACATAAGAGAAGGAGAAAGATAGTAACAGAGGACTGAGGATTGGAAGAAGCTATGACTCCCAGTTAGAGAGTGTCCAGCCAGTCCAGCCAGGTCCGGAATTACCATTACTTGAGCTTAAAGAAGGGATAGTGATTGAGTTGATTCTCCAGTGCTGGCAGAGGAATCATCAGACAGGCTACGGAAGCTGCCTATTGAAGTGGTAAGGCCTGCTATGGCTGTTCCGAGTGCGGTAGTAACTCCTAACCCTACAAGTAAGGGGATGAATGGAATGACGCTCCTGTGCTGTTGGGACCACAGGGGGAACCGGGACGCTTTTGTCCCATTGGCAAACTGAATTTTGGGGGTAAGGAAAACTGTTGTACAAGTGCCTGTCCAGTTGGTAGGAAGGCACATGTAAGAAGAAAAACCACAGAGGGAAAAAAAGTCCTTGGCTTAGAAAGAAGTGTAAGTGTCAACTGAAAAGGTGAGAAAGTGTGCTGGGGGACCCGAACGCCAAGGGAACCAGCAATGGCTGTCGCTGTTAGCGGGGTTTGGTAGGGTAACCGTGTGGAGGGAGAGCTTTTGTTTTGATGGTGTATGAGGAATCGTGTGGTATTCATAAGCAATCATTCGCTTTCATTAACAAGATTGGGTATGAGCAGAGAACAGGAGCAGATGAAGAGTGAAAATATTAGCCAGGCGCGGTGACTCCCGCCTGTAATCCCAGTACTTTGGGAGGCTGAGGCTGGGGGATCACCTGAAGTCAGGAGTTCAAGACCAGCCTGACCAACATGGTAAAACCCTGTCTCTAGGAAAAAAAAAAAAAAAGAGTGAAATATTAGCCGTAATATCCTGGAGGAGAAGTGTAAACTGGTAAAACTGTGTGCAGTGAAAACTCTGCACACCGTTTTCAACTAACTGACAGGCCAACAGCCTCGGTGCTTCTCAGGGCCCTCATGTCTGGGGCCAAGCGGGAGTAATTTCGGGGTTTGATCGCTCAGGGCTTGTGTTGAAGCTCAGCAAAAATGGGAATGGTTTCTATTTCACCACACATCAGAGCTATAGTCCCCACCTCATATGAAACACGTGATCTTTAGAGAGGCTAAAGGCCTTAGAGTTCATTGTTAGGGCTTTTTTTTTTTTTTTTTTTTTTTTTAAGACAGTCTAGCTCTTGTTTCCCAGGCTGGAGTGCAATGGCTTGATCTCAACTTGCCTCATCTCAACCTTTTTTTTTCCCGGGTTCAAGTGATTCTCCCCCCTCACCCCTCTTAGTAGCTGGAATTACAGATATTCGACACCATGCCCGACTACTTTTTGAGTTTCAGTAGAAATGAGATGGCCGGGTGCGGTGGCTCACGCCTATAATCCCAGCACTTTGGGAGGCCGAGGCGGGTGGATCACGAGCTCAACAAATCGAGACCATCCTGGTCAACATGGTGAAACCCCGTCTCTACTAAAAATACAAAAATTAGCTGGGCATGGTGGCGCGCGCCTGTAATCCCAGCTACTCAGAAGCCTGAGGCAGGAGAATTGCTTGAACCCAGGAGGTGGAAGTTGCGGTGAGCCGAGATCGCTCCATTGCACTCCAGCCTGGGTAACAAGAACGAAACTCCGTCTCAAAAAAAAAAAGAGAGGGAGATTCTCCCCCGAGACTCCCCCCAAAAACAGGCTTTGTGTGAGTAACACAGCTATTTATTCACCTGAGTGCAGGGGTACTGAGTCCGAGTATGGAGTCAGTAAAGGGCGGTGGGATAGGAGTTGGTTTTATAGCCTTGGGTGGGCAGTGGAAAGTTACAGGAGTTACAGTTTAGGGTGGTTTTTTCCAAGGAGGTGGAGTCACAAGGTTGACCAAGGTTGGTTACAGAGTTCAACGGTCTTGTCACACGGGGCAGGCATAAGGAACAATAGAGCACATCTCAAAGTTGTAAGCGCCCAGGTGGTGATTATTTCTTCCTCTTTTCAGGATCTTCCAGCTACCTCAGGTTTTCTAATTCAGGAATGCCCTCAGCGGTGTACGTGCGGTTCACAGGTGTTGCCTCGCAGTCCAGGGCAGGCTCAGACCTTCCCAGAAAGGGAGCGGATTTCTTTTCTTTCTTTCTTTTTTGAGACAGAGTCTCGCTCCGTTGCCAGGCGCCAGGCTGGAGTGCAGTGGCGCAATCTCGGCTCACTGCAACCTCCGCCTCCTGGGTTCAAGCAATTCTCCTGCCTCAGCCTCCTGAGTAGCCGGGACTACAGGCGCGCGCCACCATGCCCAGCCAATTTCTGTATTTTTAGTAGAGACGGTACGCCATGTTGGCCAGGACGGTCTCGATCTCCTGACCTTGTGATCCGCCGTCCTCGGCCTCCCAAAGTGCTGGGATTACAGGCCGTGAGCCACCGCGCCCGGCCTAGGGAGAGGATTTCTATTCTGTTCTGTGGGCTGTCAGCATGCAATTGTACGTCTCGCTCAGGCACGGCTTTGCATTTTGCATTTCAGTTTGCATTCCTGTCCTAGACAACTTCGAGGCTTTGACAGTTAATTGCTTAAGTTAATTTCGGTAGCAAGAAACTTTCCTGGATTCAGTTACCGCCCCACGTTGACTTCTTAGGGAGGTCTGTTTCTCAGACTGCTGAGCTGCTCCAGCCCCACTGGCGGGTTTCACCTCTACAACCCGGAAAGCAGGCCTGGAAAGCCATTTGCAGGGAAACTCAGGCCCCTTCCCTTTCCCGCCCTGGCGGCCCCCTCACACCCCAGGCCCCTTCTCCCCGACCCCAGGCCCCGGGTCTTTTGCCGCTGCGCTCTCCTCACTCGGGCCCCGCCCACCTCGCGCGCCCTTTCCGCCCTCGCCCAGGCCCCGCCCATCCACTTGGCGGTCCCGCCCAGGCCTGACGTCAGTCCTACGCTTATTGGCACATTCCCGGAAGCCGACGCCGTGGACGGAAGCTCACGCTGTGGTAAGTTAGTTTGACTCTGTTCTGCCTGCGCTTCCCAGGCCTCTGGTGCTAGTATGCCGGGAACGCGGGGCCCTCCCAGACCTGGAAATTCCGACCCCTCTTTCTCAACCCAGAACTAATTGAAACGTCCGGGTGAGAGTGCGGTAGCCAGTTCCTTTTGCGTTTAAAAGTCGCCCTGAAGCTGGTCCCGGCTCCCGTCTTTCCCTGCTGGGGCTGTGCAGGCGTCTCCTATCGCAGAATTTTCCTGCTGAAAACGCTTCCTGATTTGTCCTCCTGCCTCGCGGTGTTTAACCTTTTCACCCCGGAGCTGGATTCCTCCACCCTGCCTGGGCGCCTCCCAGCCTCGCTCTCGTGGGTCGCTGGAGCGCAGCGCCACAGCCCCAGTCTCAGGAAGGCGCGTCGTCTGCCTGGTCCTGGGGTCCTGCAGGCCCCACCCCTGCCCGAGACGCCATCGCCCCGCACCTCTCTCCTCATGCTGGGCCCTGCTGCTCCCAATTCCAACCCGGGAAACGTTTTTCTTCCTTGAGGCACCCCTCTTAATTCATCTTTTCCCTGTTTTACCGGAAGGCAGTGTTTAGTGTGAGATGTCCAGGTTTTTGGCTTTTGAAGATAGAATTGGGGAGAAAAAAAAAAAAACAAAAACGAAAAAACCTACAAAGTAAACGAAAAAACCTACAACGTAAACGAAAAAGAACTAGACGGCAAAAGCAGGAATTGATTCAATCAAGAACACTTAACGAGGTGCAAGTGGACCCGAGGGAGGGTCTCTGGGGCCTTGCTTACAAAGTTCTGGGGGTTCAAGTCTTTCTTTTGAGGTCCCCATGGGCTACCCCTTTTCTGGATGAAGCACTTTGGCCCTTGCTGAGGTGAATTGGCCCGAGCCCACAGCAGGTGGGTGCCCTGTGCGGAAGCGGTGGCCGGTGCCTGGCCGTGGCCACTCCTGGGCACTGTGTTTCCTTGGGAGACGTGGTGGAAGGCGGAGAGCTGTAGAAAGAGTAGCCTTTGATCCTTTGTTAGTCCGCGTGGGGAGTGTAAGGTTGGCCAAGAGGAAGGAGAGTAGACCCAAAGTCAGGCGTGGAAGTTTTACTAACCTGCCGGCTGCCCCGTAACCATCACAGGAGGCAGCCCCGAGCTTACAACACGAGGGGTTTACATGGGGTGAGAGGGGCATAAGGGAGTTTCAGGACTGAGACTCTATCGGCTTGCAACAGGCGCAGAGATGGTTTGTACCTTGGGACAGACTTACAACACATCATCCTGCGACTTTTGTGGAGGCAGTTTTTTAAAAACAGGATCTTTCAGCTGTATGTAAAACAGGAATTTACAAATGGAAACCAACATTTGTTTTCCGTCCTCCCCCGTTGCTTAGTTGTAGCACCTGGATAGGGGTTCAGGAGTGCAGCTGCGAGCAATCACAGTAGGGCTGGTCAGCTGCGCGGAGGGGATTTTCCAAGACAGGTTATCCCCTAACAGAAAGATGGTTTTTTCCCTTTCAGTGTAGTTTTGGAAAGTTCGCATTACCTGGCCTTAGATTCACTGTCCGCAGACCCAGAAACCAGGTGCAACCTCCACCTCCTGGTTTCAGGCAATCGTCCTGCCTCAGCCTCCTGAGTAGCTGGGACTACAGGCGCGGGCCACCATGCCCAGCTAATTTTTTTTTTGTATTTTTAGTAGAGACGGGGTTTTGCCATGTTGACCGGGATGGTCTGGATCTCTTGACACACCCCCCCTCCCCTCCCCCCCCCCCCCCCCCCCCCCCCCGCCTTGGCCTCCCAAAGTGCTGGGATTATAGGCGTGAGCCATCACGCCCAACCAAATAACTTTTTCTTAAATAAACTTTGGCAGGACCTTCTGAGCTCACGTGGTTTTCCAACTATGATACGTGTTCAAAATTTGTTCTTTGACCCCACATGCCGTTATAAATACATATTTTTTTCCATTTTAAAATTGTTTACCTCTGAAATTTATTGTGTTCAGTGTACCTTAAAAACTGTATGCTTTCTAGTCTATATCATACACTGGAAACATTTTTTTTACTACTTGAGAAATAATTTTAGGTTGTTTCATTGTATACTTACTAAACATATCAAGGACCTTTTTTCTTTCTGCTGACATCAGATTTTGGTTTAAGTAGCCTGTGAGTCCATTTCGTCTTCTCATGGCATCTGATCAAAGGAGGTCATGGTGAGCTCTGAGCTAAGTCAGCAATGCCCTGAAGTTCCTCTGGTCCAGAGTTCTCTGCAGAGGTTACAGGAGCTGGATTGACTTGGGAGCTTGTTTCAACAGGGCCCATGTGTTCATGAAGAAAACGTTTGCCCAGATCTCATTTCTGCCATTGCGTCTCTTTTAGTGTTTTAAAGACTTATAGCTATGTTTTCACAATTGTGTATATTTTGAAGTATTCCTAGGGGGGTGGATCACGAGGTCAAGAGATCGAGACCGTCCTGGTCAAGAAGGTGAAACCCCGTCTCTATTAAAATACAAAAAAATTAGCTGGGCATGGTGGTGCGTGCCTGTAGTCCCAGCTACTCAGGAGGCTGAGGCAGGAGAATTGCCTGAACCCAGGAGGCGGAGGTTGCAGTGAGCCAAGATCGTGCCATTAGACCCCAGTCTGGGTAACAAGAGTGAAACTTTGTCTCATACAAACAAGCAAACAAAAATTAGCTGGGCATGGTGGTACGTATTTGTAGTCCCACCTACTCGGGAGGCTCAGGTAGGAGAATTGCTTGAACCCAGGAGGCGGAGGTTGCGGTGAGCCGAGATCCTGCCATTGCACTCCAGCTTGGGTAACAAGAGCGAAACTCTGCTCAAAACAAATAAACAAAAACAAAAAGTATTCTTGTCATTTTTCTGGGAAAATAATTACATGTTTAGGATTCATGCCATCAGAACCTTAGATGATGTAAGAGACCTTTATTTTGTTCAGGTTTATATAGATGATCCTGGAATTTTTTTGTTGTTGTTTTTCTTGAGACAGTGTCACTCTGTCACCCGTGCTTGAGTGCAGTGACATGATCTTGGTTCACTACCACCTCTGCTCCCAGGCCCAAGTAATCCACCCCAGACAGCCTCCCAAATAACTAAGAACACAGATGCACAGCACCATGACTGGCTAATTTTTTGTACTTTTGGTAGAGATGGGGCTTCATCATGTTTCCCAGGTTGATCTCAAACTCCTGGGCTTAAGTGATCGACCCACTTTAGCCTCCCAAAGTGCTGGGATTACCGGTATGAGCCACCATGCCTGGCCTATCCTGGAATTTTCTAGTGGAAGAAGACCAATGCAACCTGTTGGCCCTTCCAGGCCATCACATGGAAATCAGCCATACCTTTTTCCTACTCACCTGACAGGTTCTCAGGATACCTTGGTGTAATGTATCCTGCTCTGAACCCCAGTGAGCCCACCTGTAATACACAGGTGAATAAGACCAGAAAGCTCAGTCAGAGTGACACTGACCCTGGAAATGTTTAGCCAAATAGAGTGTGGCATTTCCTGTAGGAGAGGGTAATGCTCAGGTGTAATTTGAATTTTAAATGGACTCTCCTCCTCTAAATATGTTAAAAAACACAAGTACCAGAATGGAAAAAAAACGGGATTAGACTCAAATCACCTTAAACCTCTTCTTGTCTCTGTCCACACCCTCTTTCCCTCCTTATCACCTCATCTCTCGGCTTTCACCCGGCTGCAGGGCTCCAGGGCTCCGTGTCCCCTGCAGGCCTCTCCCTGAGCTCTGCAATCCTGTGTCCGGTTGGCTCCTCAGCTCGCTGCTAGGACATCACACAGACATCTCCACCCTCACGTTTTCGTCAGTGACTTCCTAAACCCTCCTACACATTCCCTGCAGTCCTGCATGTCTCAAATGAGGGTGAAATGTACTTCTGGGGGTTAGCCAAACTTGACAGCATGTATTTTAAATTTGGGAAATAATTTCATTCTTTGTAAGGGTTGTAATTTTTAATGTAAAGTGTCATGTGTACATGAAAGGAGTGGGAAGATACATCATTTCAAAGATTCTTTTGAGGCATGGGAGAATAATATTTCAAGACCTCATCACTGTGGATCTGCAGTCCCAGGACCTCTCTGACCTCACCACCTGCTGTCCTCACTCCCTCGGCTCCAGCCTCACAGGCTGCTTTGCTTTTTCTGGGGCTGAGGTTTCTCCTTTATATGGGCCTTCACCTGGGCTATCCCTCTGCCTAGGACTCTCTGGCTCCACAACTGCAAGTGACAAGTGCAGGGTCCAGCCCCGCAGGGTCCAGTGAGTGTTCTTTTGTGTGTGCAGGATAGATCATAGCAAAGAAAGACACAAAACACAGAGATAAGAGAAGAATTCAGCTGGGCCTGGTGGACTGCTACCAAGGGCTGGAGTCAAGCAGTGGCCCCAAATACACTGGTATTTATTGTATATGAGGCAGAGGGGCAGGGCTGGAGAGTGACTCGTGCCATCATTGGCAAGGGTCAAGCGAATCACATACTGACAGTACAGGGGGCCGTGTGGGTACAGTGCAGGGGAATCACATGGGTACAGTACAGCGGGCCCCTCCGTCTGACCTAGGCATTTCGAAGAGTGGAGGCACATACATCGGTATCTTTCTGTGCACCTATCAGAGAGATCAAAGACTTTTAGGGTTCCTCTATTCTCACAGCTTCTAAGAATTTACAAGGGAGCATGGGGTGGGAAAGTGGAACATGAAAGTGGACAAGGACGGTGACCGTTGGAGCACAGCACCACTGAGAGGTGTTTAAGCCCCCGGATGTCTGCGGGCCAGCCTGGCTAGTCTCAGACCTTCCTAGAGGGTGGGATAGAGCAGAGTTTTCTCTGAACTCCCCAGTGAAAGGAAAACTCCCCCTCATGGTCTGCTAAGCAGAAGGCACCTTTCCAGGGACTGGTGCTACTGCAGGGCATTTACTCTCACCTCCTAATCACGTCTCACAATGTCCCTTCAGTTCATAATTATATTTCAACGGATTGTCTATACTATAAGACTAGAAACGTTCCTACACAGGCTGGGTGTGGTGGCTCACTTCTGTAATCCAAGCCCTTTGGAGGCCAAGGTGGGCAGATCACGTGAGGTGGGGAGTTCAAGACCAGCCTGACCAACATGGTGAAACCCCAACTTTAAAAAAAAAAAAAGAAATCAGGCCGGGCGCAGTGGCTCACGCCTGTAATCCCAGCACTTTGGGAGGCCAAGGCGGGTGGATCACGAGGTCAATAGATCGAGAACATCCTGGTCAACCTGGTGAAAGCCCGTCTCTACTAAAAATACAAAAAATTAGCTGGGCATGGCAGCACGTGCCTGTAGTCCCAGCTACTCAGGAGGCTGAGGCAGGAGAATTGCCTGAACCCAGGAGGCAGAGGTTGTGGTGAGCCGAGATCGTGCCATTGCACTCCAGCCTTGGTAACGAGCAAAACTCCGACTCAAAAAAAAAAAAAAAAAAAAGTGTTCCTACACAGTAATACCAAAGAAAAGGTTAATAGTATAAAATAATAATAGATTGATTTTGTAATTATGTGATTGTATCTAAGTCTATTTGGTATCATTGCTATAACTAACCATTTATTATGCTATAACTGTAATCAGTAAATATATTGGGTATCATTGCTATATCTAAATAATCAGTTATTTATTATGCTGGGACAGATCGTGCCTTCAGTCTCTTGCTGTTACACCTGGGCAACTTTCTCTCTACAGAGAAGCAGCCTTCCCTAAGTTTTTTTTCTGACATCACTTTCTTTTTTTTTTTTTTTTTTTTCTTTTTAATTTTGGAGACAGAGTCTTACTCTGTTGCACGGCGCCAGGCTAGAGTGCAGTGGCGCGATCTCTGCTCACTGCAATCTCTGTCTCCTGGGTTCAGGCAATTCTGCCTCAGCCTCCCAAGTAGCTGGGACTACAGGCGCATGCCAGCACTCCCAGCTAGTTTTTGTAATTTTTTTTTTGAGAGGGAGTTTCGCTCTTGTTACCCAGGCTGGAGTGCAATGGCACAATCCTGGCCCACCGCAACCTCCGCCTCCTGGGTTCAAGCAATTCTCCTGCCTCAGCCTCCCGAGTAGCTGGGACTACAGCGTCTATCACCATGCCCAGCTAATTTTTGTACTTTTAGTAGAGACGGGGTTTCACCATGTTGACCAGGATGGTCTCCATCTCTTGACCTCGTGATCCACCCGCCTCGGCCTCCCAAAGTGCTCAGATTACAGGTGTGAGCCACAGTACCCGGCCTAGTTTTTGTATTTTTTGGAGAGATGGGGTTTCACCATGTCAGCCAGGATGGTCTCGATCCCTTGACCTCGTGATCCGCCTGCCTCGGCCTCTCAAAGTGCTGAGATTACAGGCATGAGGCACCGAGCCCAGCATTTTCTATTTTTTAATTTTTAAATTTTTTGCCTTTTTTTTTTTAATGACTCGTTTTGTGTTATGTCTTTGTTATTAATCCAAACTGACATCACTTTCTCTATGGAAACCTTTGTGACTTCCCACAGCCCCCCATTTGACTTTACAGCCCACCGTCACCCCACCTCTGGTCCATGTTGCCTGTTCCGTGTGATTCTTTTTGCGCCTTGGTTTTTGGCTGGATCCTGGTGAGAATAAGTCCCCAAAGGGAGCAGTCAGGCTGTGCTGGGCTGGCACCCTCTGAGTGGAGCTCAGCCCTGACTTCACATTAGTGTGCTCAGGCATTTTGCAAATACATGTTTTTCTTCTGTTTCATCAGAGATTGCTATTATCATAGGCTGGGACCCACCCTCTATAATACTTCCACTGGTGTTGGTGATTCTCATCTGTGTCCAGCATTGAACATCAAGGCAGTTTCCTCCATGTTGAGAGCTGAGAGCAGCCTCCCGTCCACAGAGAGTTGATGGGGCTATGCTCTGCATGGGGATTGGTCAGGGCCATGTCTGTGCCCTGAAGATCTGTGCCCTTCTGCAATGTGTGTGTTTACTTTTCGAGGAGGGGAGCAAAATCTAAAAAGGGCACAAAATTACTCTTGTAGGTCTATTTGTAAGACATTTTTGTTTTTTTTGTTTTCTTTTTTTGAGATGGAGTTTCACTCTTGTTACCCAGGCTGGAGTGCAATGGTGCGATCTCGGCTCACCACAACCTCCACCTCCTGGGTTCAGGCAATTCTCCTGCCGCAGCCTCCTGAGTAGCTGGGATTACAGGCAGGTGCCACCATGCCCAGCTAATTTTTTTGTATTTTTAGTAGAGACGAGGTTTCACCATGTTGACCAGGATGGTCTCGATCTCTTGACCTTGTGATCCACCCGCCTCAGCCTCCCAAAGTGCTGGGATTACAGGCATCCGCCACCGCGCCCGGCTGTTTTCTTTTTTTTTTTAAATGGGGTTTCACCATCTTGGCCAGGCAGGTCTCGAACTCCTGACTTCATGATCCACCCACCTTGACCTTCCAAAGTGCTGAGATTACAGGAGTGAGCCATCGCATACAGCTCGGTAAGACATTCTTATCTCTGCATGATCTCTGGTGCGGTGGTCAGCAGAGGACCATTTATCTACAGGGTGAGGTCTCCCCGGTGTGTGTGTGTCCCAGAAAAAAAGGTGAGTAATACTTTCAAAAAAAAGTAATATTTCTAAATATTAAAAAACAGTCTGGCCAGGTGGTTCATCATTGCAATCCCAGCTCTTTGGGGGGCTGAGGTGGGCAGATCACTAGGTCAGAAGATCGAGACCATCCTCACCAGGATGGTGAAATCACATCTCTACTAAAAATACAAAAAACAGCAGGACGTGGCATCATGTGCCTGTAATCACAGCTACTTGGGAGGCCGAGGTGGGAGAATCACTTGAACCCAGGTCGCGGACGTTGCAGTGAGCCGAGAGGCTGCCATTGAACCCCTGCCTGGCAACAGAGCTAGACTCCCTCTCCAAAAAAATAAAAGTAAAAATAAATTTTATATGTTTTTTACATACAGGATTGATTTTAAAAGACTCATGTTACGTGAGGAATTTACCAAGAAAAGCAAGGAAAAGGAGCCCGGGATGCCTGTTGCTCAGGTAAAATGATCGTCCTCAGTGAATTACTCGGTTGTTTTTTGTTTCTGAAATGCCAGGTTTGTAGTAGCCTGTCTTCTGTGAGTCTGAAGCGTCCTGCCTGGCACGTGTGCTCACACTCACTCATGCCTTTTCTCAGTCCCTCCCATCTCCACTTAGATTCCATCTCCTATAACCCAGTGACGTGAGCTTGGGAAGAGGCTGCACTGGGCATGGTCCTGGGAAGGGCTCTCCCCAGACATGGATGGAGACGGCTTATGGGCCTTGTGCTGTCTGTGGTGCTGGGCAGCAGGGAATGTTCAGGGGCCACATCTGGATGCATATGAAGCTCTTTGTGGACCAGATCAGAGAAACTGTATATGAGAGTCATACATTAATGTGCACTGGTATCTGGAGGGGAAAAGGAGACACGTAGAGGAGCTATTTAGTGTCGATTTTGTAACGCATTTGAAGCTACACTAGTGAGTCAATATGTCTCTGACTCCAAACTTTTTATCTTAAAACACAGGGTGTCACTCTGGGGTTCAGTCTGAAGTGCAGTGGCACAATGCTAGTTTACAGCAGCCTCGAACTCCTGGGCTCAGGTCATCCCTACATTAGCCTCCCAAGTGCTAGGGTATCAGGCATGTGTCATCATGGCTGTTAATTTTTTTATCCTGTAGAGATGAGAACTTGCTATGTTGTCCAGGCTGGAGTGACATGGCAGAATCATAGCTCAGTATAGCCTTGAACTCCTGGCCCCAAGTGATCCTCCCACCTGAACCTTGCAAATTGCTGGGATTACAGGTGTGAGACAGCCAGCACAGTGGGACTTTGCACTTCTAATGGCTTGGAATAGAATGGAAAGTGGAGATAGACATCAGTGGTACAGGTGGCTTTATTCCATCATTGACTTTAAATTATGTAATCAATATGAATATCTAACTGCAGAGGATTTTTTCAATCATTTTCAGCACGTTGACCCCGTAGAGACTGTTTTTTCCCCAGGGCTCTGATGTAGCACGCATTTTAGAAAACAATGATTGTAAGTTTGCTCTGACATAAAACCAGAACTTATTTCGTTAGAGACGATGAAGGCATTTTTCTTTTCTTCCCATTATTATGAAATGTATCTTTTGTTTTAAACATCACACAACGTATACATGTGTTGCATAGTAAAACTCCAGAGAAAGATGCACTGTGCATCCCCTTTCCTGTCCAGCCTTCCACTTGTTCCCATGTCGACTCAATGGGGAATCAGTGTTAAGAGTTCTGTGGTGGCTGGGAGTGATGGCTCACACCTGTAATCCCAGCACTATTGTAGGCTGAGTGGGCGGATTTCCCGATCAGGAGTTGGAGACAAGCCTGACCAATATGGTGAAAGCCTGTCTCTACTGAAAATACAAAAGTTAGCTGGGTGTGGTAGTGCATGCCTGTAATCCCAGCTACTTGGGGGGCTGAGGCAGGGCAATCATTTGAACCCAGGAGGTGGGCGTTGCAATGAGATGAGGTCATGTCACTGTACTCCAGCCTAGGTGACGCTGTTACACCTGAGCGAGTAAAGGAATGCACCACACTCTGAGATTGAATTCTGAGTCCTTTATTTTATCCGGTGACCCAGAGGTGGTTAACGCCCAAAATTCTCTCAGCCCCAAAGAAAGAGTTAAGGAGTTTCTTATACCCTAGTTTGAAAAGGGAGGGGGAACCTAGCTGAAGCAATTTTTTCACAGAAGCAGAGTAAGCAAACAGCTAACAGATAAACTAGTACGTGAGAAATAAAGCAGTACCAGGTGCAGGGCTAGAGCTGTCATATAAAGACATACAACTTACAGATATGGGGGCTCTGAGTAATGGACAGCACCTGCATTCCCAGGCCCTAGTGGAACCGCTTAACTCAGCCTCTTACCAGCAAACGCACTCTGGGATGTGCCGGGGGTCATCCTGCCCCAGCTGCACACAGCAGTTACATACTTAATGAGGGGAGTAACTAAAATGAAGAAGCTAACATGAAGCCTGAGCCGCTCTTAGCTAAGAAAGAGTCAGTTTAAGCTAACAAAAAGCAGGTTATCACAACACGGCAAGACTCCATCTCAAACATAAAACAGAAGTGTTCTGTGGCAAATCAGCGTAATCTTTTTTTTTTTTTTTATTGGATTTTAGGTTTTGGGGTACATGAGCAGAGCATGTAAGACAGTTGCGTAGGTACACACATGGCAGTGTGCTTTGCTTTTCTTCTCCCCTTCACCCACATTTGGCATTTCTCCCCAGGCTATCCCTCCCCACCTCCCCCTCCCACTGGCCCTCCCCTTTTTCCCCCCAATAGACCCCAGTGTTTAGTACTCCCCTTTCTGTGTCCATGTGTTCTCATTTTTCATCACCCACCTATGAGTGAGAATATGCGGTGTTTCATTTTCTGTTCTTGTGTCAGTTTGCTGAGGATGATGTTCTCCAGATTCATCCATGTCCCCCTCCGCGGACACAATGAGAGCTCCAATCCTGGGTTGTTCTCACAGCGCCATCTTGAGTCCTCCCCCCAAATCAGCGTAATCTTATAGAAATGTATTCATACATTGTTAGGAGGTTTTTTGTTTTTTTTTAAAGATGTGGTTTCGCCATGATAGCCAGGCTGGTCTTGAACTCCTGACCTCAGGTGATCCACCCACCTCAGCCTCCCAAAGTGCTAGGATTACAGACGTGAGCCACAGCACCTGGCCTCCTTAGGAGGTTTTTAAAAAAATTCTTTGATGATCGGATTTTTTTTTTTTTTTTGAGACAGAGTCTCGGTCTGTTGCCAGGTGCCAGGCTGGAGTGCAGTGGCACAATCTCGTCTCCCTGCAACCTCCACCTCCCGGGTTCAAGCAATTCTCCTGCCTCAGCCTCCCGAGTAGCTGGGATTACAGGCACGTGCCATTATGCCCAGCTAATTTTTTTGTATTTTTAGTAGAGACGGCGTTTCACCATGTTGACCAGGATGGTCTCGATCTCTTGACCTCGAGATCCACCCGCCTCGGCCACCCAAAGTGCTGGGATTACAGGCGTGAGCCACCACACCTGGCCTATCGTATTATTATTAGAGATGGGGTTTTATCATGTTGGCCAGGCTGGTCTTCAACTCTTGGCCTCAAGTGATCCTCACGCCTTGGTCTCCCAAAGTGCTAGAATTTTAGATATGGGCCCCAGGCCCAGCCTGATGAATATTTTGTTATCATGTTTTTATCATGAAACTTTTGAAAATGTCCATGTCTCCAAGGTAGGAAACAAGACAGCTTGTTCTTTTAAGTCCTCCTCAGAATATTCTCTGAATAAAGACACGTGAGTCCTTGATAATTTTGTTTTGTTTCTTTCCTTGTTTTTTGAAGAAGGAGTTTCATTTTTTTCACCCAGGCTGGCCTGCACTGGTGCTATTTCGGCTCACTCCAACCTCTCCCTCCCGGGTTCCAGTATTTTTCTGCTTCTGTCTGCCAAGGAGCTGGAATTACAGGCCTGCATTTCCATGTTCACTTAATTTTGTACTTTTAGTAGAGAAAAGGGTTTACCATGTTGACCAGGCTGGTTTCGAACTCCGGAGCTCAGGTGATCCACCTGCCTCTGCCTCTCCAAGTGCTAAGATTACAGGCATGAGCCACTGCACCCGGCTTGTGTTTTGTTGGTTTTTTTTTTTTTTTTTTCACAGAGTCTCTGTACTGCCCAGGCTGAAGGTCAGTGGCATCACTGGGGCTCACTGTAACCTCCACCTCCCAGGTATAAGCAATTCTCATGCCTCAGCCTTTCAAGTAGCTGGAATTACAGGTGTCCGCCACCACGCATAACTAGTTATGTATTTCTACGAAAGATGGGGCTTAACCATGTTGCCCAGGCTGGTCTCAAACTCCTGACTCCACGTGATATCCTTGACAGTTTTTCACTGTTACTGAGAATAACGCACTGGCTACCTGTGAGTGTGGAGACTTCACTGCAAATCGGGCTACTCAAGAACTGATTGCTTCTTCTTGGATTTGCCGTTTCATCTTCTAGATGTGGGAAGATTTCACCCCTACCCCCAGCTGCAGTGGTGCTCTCTCTGCCTGAGAACATGAGAAATTTGCCACTCAGTTAAGCAAAGCTTATTACTGTGGTCTTACTACCATGTTCTTTTTATTTTCGATGAAAAAGAAAGCCCTTTTTATTTATATTTTTTATTCCATGAGAGTCTGTAAATTTCATTAATTGTGGAAATGTATATGTAAAATGAATTTCAATACTTTGCTCAGCATTCTTTTCCTGTGTTTTGAGAGCTACTTTGTATTATTTAGTTTAGTTCTGTTGGGGAAGCAGCAATGTTGGGAGGGTTTACGATGTGCCCACATAAACTGGCTATAAGTAATATATAACATAGACTGATTATAAGTTATGTATAAAAGGAATCAGGAAAATAAACTGCGGAAGGCCGCGGAGGCCTCTGGGGAGGAAGGCCGCAGAGGCCTCTGGGGAGGAAGGCCTCTCTATGCCAGCATGGTCCCAGGAACAGCGTGACCTAAACTCTGATATTCTAAACATAGTGCCAAGGACGTAACCCTCCCTTGAAGCACTGGAATGTAGCCAGACATGAAGGCTCCTTGCTGTGCCCGCTCCCACCAGCTGCATTGTCTATTGACAAGCATTCGCTTTTAGCTCTTGAGAGACTCACGTAAAGCACTGCTGTCAATTTTATGTTTGATGCACAGCCTCCCTTCACCAGTTCACCCTGCCACCTGCTCTATAGATAAACGTGTGGAAACCAGAACTCCGGGCCTTTGCTGCCTCCAGTACAAGTGATGGCCGCTTGTCCCACTTGCTTTTTTTTTTTTTTTTTTTTAAATATGGGGTTTCACCATGTTGTCCAGGATGGTCTCGATCTTCTGACCTCGTGATTTGCCCACCTCGGCCTCCCAAAGTGCTGGGATTACAGGAGTGAGCCACCGCGCCCGGCCCCACTTTCATTCTTAATCTGTCTTTTTTTTCATTTATTTGTCACACTGAATTCTGGGTACCCGTGGATGGGGTGTGGGGGCTGGCTCCCTACAAATTCTTTATTTTTGCCTTTAAGTTTTTTTCATATTATGAATTTTTTTTTTAAGGGTAAAACAAATGTTTCTTCACATGACCTTTTTATTATTATTATTATTTTTATTTTTTTTTTTGAGACAAGTTTCACTCTTGTTGCCCAGGCTGGAGTGGAAAGGCACCATCTTAACTCTTTGCAACCTCCACCTCCCGGGTTCAAGCACTTCTCCTGCCTCAGCCTCCCAAGTAGCTGGGATTACCGGGACATGCCACCATGCCCAGCAAAGTTTTGTATTTTTAGTAAAGATGGGGTTTCATCATCTTGGCCAGGCTGTTGATGAACTCCTAACCTCACGTATCTACCCGCCTCGGCCTCCCAAAGTGCTGAGATTATACAAGTGAGCCATCTTGCCTAGGCCCGTGCTCTCTATTTGCATTTTCTTGTTTTATTTTGCTTTGTAAGCTTTGCCTCATCGGTGATTATGACGTCCTCTTGTATTTAAATCTAATTTTATTGTTAAAAATTTGATGGCAGCCGGGCTCAGTGGCCAAAGCTTGTAATCTTGACACTTTGACAGGCCAAAGCAGGGTGATTACCTTATGTGAGGTGTTCAAGGCCTGCCTGGTCAACATGGTGGAACCCCGTTTTTACTAAAAGTGCAAAAAATTAGGTGGTATGGGTGGCAAGCAGTTGTAATCCCACTTACTCAAGAAACTGAAGCAAAAGAATTGCTCAAAGCTGAAAGGCAGAGGTTGTAGTGAGCCAAGGTCATGTCATTGCACTCCGGCCTGGGTGACGAGAGTGAAGCTTCATCTCAAAAATATAAATAAAAATAGATTTGGTTTATATTTAATTTTAATTTTTGTGTATTTCTCATAGGTATTTCAGGTAATTAATTTTAAAGATTCAGGTAATGTATGTCAGCAAATTCATATGAAGTCAGCAAACACCTCCCTATTTTTCTTTTCTTTTCTTTTCTTTTTTTTTGAGACGGAGTTTCGCTGTTGTTACCCAGACTGGAGTGCAATGGCACGATGTCGGGTCACTGCAACCTCCGCCTCCTGGGTTCAAGCAATTCTCCTGCCTCAGCCTCCCCAGTAGCTGGGACTACAGGCGCGTACCACCATGCCCAGCTAATTTTTGTATTTTTAGTAGAGTTGGAGTTTCACCTTGTTTACCAGGATAGTCTCGGTCTTTTGACCTCCTGATCCACGCACCTCGGCCTCCCAAAGTGCTGGGATTATAGGTGTGAGCCATCGCGTCCAGCCTCCTGTTTTGCTTTTGAAAATACTTTTGATTTCCCTTAGACAGAACACACTTTATTGAAATTTCACTCTTTTCCCTTTAATGTCTCTTAATGTTTACAACTGTAAAAGTCTGTTTCTTTGTTTTTCATTGCCCCATTTTATCTGAGACAGGTATAGCAATCTTGCTATCAACACTTAATTCAGTATGAATTGGACATGTCAATCTTTGATGATGTGTTTGAGTCGTTTCTTTGTTTGGCTGTAAAGTAGTGTCAGGTATATTCATATTAGTATGCAGTAGTTACAGGACTTTGTCCTGCAAAACTGAAACTCTTATACCGACTAGGAGCTAATTTTTCCATTCAGCACATTCAATCCTTCGGAGCGTAGCTGCAGATGTAGTGGTGACCAACTCCCTCAACTTCTGTTGAACTGAGAAAGACCTAATTTTAAAATATTTTTTAAAGGATCATTTTCTCAGGTATAGCGGTTTTATTGGCGGGTGCGTTTCTTTGAAGCTTTGACTGTTCCATCGTACTCGCTCGCAGACTCTGATGTTTCTACTGAGAAATTTCTTAAGAATATGACAGCAACACCATCTTGGGTGACAGCTCTTCTTTTGGCTATTGTTAGAATTTTCTTTATCTCTGAATTTTGATAATTTTATTATGATGTTGTTTGTTGTAGGTCTCTTAGATTATCCTAGTTGGATACTTTTAAGATGTTGAATTTGTTTCTTTTGCCTTCTGAAATTAGAAAATTTTGAGCATTATGTCTTCCAGTAGGCTTTTCTGTTCCTTTCTGACTCTCACTCTCTTCTGGATTTCTGGAATTTTTTTTTTTCTTTAGAGGGAATTTTGCTCTGTCGCCCAGGGTAGAGTGCAGTGGTGCAGTCTGGGCTGACTTCAACCTCTGCCTCCTGGGTTGGAGTGATTCTCTCACCTCAGCCTCCCAAGTAGCTGAAATTACAGGTGCGCACCACCACACCTGGCTAATTGTTGTCTGTTTAATCCAGAAGGAATGTTACCATGTTGGCCAGGTCAGTCTTGAACTCCTGACATCAGGTGATTTCCCCCACCCGGTCCTTTCAAAGTGCTGGAATGACAGGCGTGAGCCACCCCGCCCGGCCTGGGGCTTTCATAAGGTGTAGGATGTTGTCCTTGATGGCGTCCTGTTGGTCTGTTTAGACTCCCTTTATTTCCATTCATTCTTTGTTGTTGTTTTCCTCTTCACTAATTTTTGGTTGTTGTTGTTGAGATGGAGCTTTGCTCTTGATACCCAGGCTGCACTGCGGTGGCGTGATCTCGGCTCACTGCAACCTCCGCCTTTCCAGTTCAACTGATTCTCCTGCCTCAGCCTCCCGAGTAGCTGGGACTACAGCTGTGTGCCACCACGCCCAGCTAATTTTTGTATTTTTAGTAGAGTTGAGGTTTCACCATGTTGGCCAGGATGGTCTCTTGATATTTTGATCTTATGATCTGCTCACATCATAAGTGCTAGTATTATAGGCATGAGCCACCATGCCTGGCCAAGCCCATGATTTGTGTATAAACATATCATTTGTGTGTACTCTCCTCTCTCTCTCTCTCTCACTCTGTAATTTGTATTTGTCTGTATGTTTCTGTGTATATATATTTTATTTTTATCTATTTTATTTTTTGTTCTGCAAAAGAGTCTCATTCTGTTACCCAGGCCAGAGTGCAGTGGCGTGAAACCTGCCTTCAGAGTTCAAGCAATCTCCTGCTTCAGCTTCCCAAACAGCTGGGATTACAAGGGCTTTCCCCAACCACACCCAGATAATTTTTTTACTTTTCATTTATTTATTTTGAGACGGAGTTTCGCTCTTGTTACCCAGGCTAGAGTGCAATGGCTCGATCTGGGCTCACCGCAACCGGCGCCTCCTGGGTTCAGGCAATTCTCCTGCCTCAGCCTCCTGAGTAGCTGGGATTACAGGCACGTGCCACCATGCCCAGCTAATTCTTTGTATTTTTAGTAGAGGCGGGGTTTCACCATGTTGACTAGGATGGTCTCGATCTCTTGACCTCGTGATCCACCAGCCTCAGCCTCCCAAAGTGGTGAGATTACGGGCGTGAGCCACCGCGCCTGGCTAGAATTTTTTTTTTCTTTTTGCCAGTCAACGAGAGCTTGTAAGGTTGTTCAGGTTGGCCTTGAACTCATGGCCTCGCGTCTGCAAGCACCACGACATCTGGCCGAAGTCACTGTGGACCCCAATTTTTTTATTTTTAGTAAATACTAGGTTACCCCAGATTGGCTAGGTTTGTCTCAAACTTCTGACTTCAAGTAATCCACTCCCCTCGGTCTCCCAATGTGATGGAATTACAGGTGTGAGCCACTACACCTGGCCTTATTTATATACACACACATATATATCTATATCTATATATATATATATATAAAGAGACAGCGTCTAAGTCTAGAGCCCAAGCTGGAGTGCAGTAGTATAATCTTGGCTCATGGTGAAATTCACCTCTGAGACTCAAGCAAATCTCTTCCCTCACCCTCCCAAGTAGCTGGGAGAATAGGTGTGTGCCACCACACCCAGTTAATTTTTCTGTATCTTTGGTAGAGACCGGGTTCTACTGTGTTGCCCTGGGTGGTCTTGAACTCCTGAGCTCAGGTGATCCACCCGCCTCAGCCTCCCAAAGTGCTGGGTTTCCAGTGATGAGACTTTCACTCAGCAATATATTTTTTATATTGTCCATGAAACTGGGACTTCCACAGTGGCTTAGAAGATTTTTAAATCTATCATAGAAAAGTATACTAAAAAGCAACTATATGGCAAAAATGTCCAAAGATACCTTAACGCGGATTTGTCAGAGCACAGTCTGGTATCATAACAATACTTATTTTTTTTTTTCTTATTTCATGTGAAGGTGATAACTTAGTTCTGTATAACGTTTTGTTGAAATGTGTTTTTCATTTTAGGGACGCTTGACTTTCAGGGATGTGGCTGTAGAATTCTCTTTGGCGGAGTGGAAATGCCTGACCCCTGCGCAGAGGGCTGTATACAGGGACGTGATGTTGGAGAACTACAGGAACCTGGAGTCTGTGGGTGAGGAACCCGTCCCTCCAGACACGAGGAATCTGCCCTTGTCCATCTTGGCTCTTCCTGGTATGTATTCTCTGTTGCAATTTTGCCCCATGTATGCTTTTGATGTACATGTCATTGATTTCTGCAGACCCTCCTATGAAGCACGGATAGCTTCTTAGGGACTCTCCTATGAAGTGGCTTTACATAAAAACAGAAAATTCATGAACACTTTGACTAATACAGTAGAACATCATCCTGCTCTAGGCAGAGATGCCCCTGGAAGCCCTGAGCAGAATTGTCTGCATGGTCCAGGATAAGAGATGGAAAGCATGACACTGACTGACAAGTGTTTCCAGCTGTGGTTCTGGGTTTTTTTGGTTGTTTGCTTTTTGTTTTTGAGACAGTGTCTCCCTCTGTTGCCCAGGGTGGAGTACACCATTGTGATTTCAGCTCATTGCATCCTCCACCTCCTGGGTTCAAGCAATTCCATACCTCAGCCTCCCAACCTATCTGGAATTACAGGCACATGCCACCAGACCTGGCTAATGTTCTTATTTTTATTAGAGATAAGGTATCACCATGATGGCCAGGCTTGTCTCAAACTCCTGGTCTCAAGTACTCTGCCAGCTTCAGCCTCTGGCCAAGTATTGGGATTACACATGTGAGCCGTCATGCCCGGCCTTTCTTTCTGGATTTTGAGGAGAATCACAGAAGCATCTCACTGGCACTGTGACTCTGTTCTTCACATAAACTAAAGATTATCTTTTCTAAGCAGCAGTCACTGCTGTAGAAATTCCTCTTGGGGACGACATCATTCAGGTTCCCTGCTTCATATATATAAGGCTCTTGGCATAACTCTTTTTTATGCTGACATGGAATTTTGCTTTTGTCGTTCAGGCTGGAGTGCAATGGTGAAATCTCTACTCACTGCAACCTCTGCCTTTTGGGTTCAAGCAGTTCTGCCTCAACATCCCGAGTAGGTGGGATTTACAGGCACTTACCACCACACCTGGCTAATGTTTGTATTTTTAGTAGAGATGGGTAATCTTAAACTTTCAAGATTACATTTGGGAAGTTTAAAATAACTACTGTTCTTTGTGTAATATTTGCACATTTCAGTCTTAACTGTTATTTAACATCTGTACTTAATTGGAAACCTACTGGTCTTTATATTTTTCAGATAGCTTTTTAAAGTCTATGATGGAGTTCTCATCAACAGGGCAAGGTAGTACAAGAGAAGGGATCCACACAGGGACATTGGGAAAATGTACAAGTCATCACATTGGAGATTCTTGCTTCCCAGAAGCTGAGAAAGATATTCATGAGTTTGAGTTTCAGAGGCAAGAAGTCAAAGGAAATGGCCATGAAGCACTCATGACAGAATCCAAGGAGTTGACTGGTAGTATAGAGCCATGTGATGACGGGTGTGCTGGCAGGAAGCCTATTGGAGATCAGCTTGGGTTAAGCTTCCATTCGCATCTGCCAGATGCCAAATGTTCCGAAGGGAACATTGATAATCAGCTAGAGACGTCTGCCAATGATGATTCCTCAGTTTCAACAGCCCAAAACATTTCTTGTAGGCTCAAAACCCATGTCTCTAACAAGCATGAGAATAATGTCCTCCATTCTTCATTATTCACACAAAAACAGGAAGTACACATGATAGAAAAACCTTTCCATTGTAATGAGTGTGGCAAAGCCTTTCATAATAGTTCACTCTTAAGGAGACATCAGCTAACCCATTCAGGAGAGAAACAAAACAAATGTGATGTATGTGGCAAAGTCTTTCCTAAGAAGCACAACCTTGTATGTCACCATAGAGTTCACACTGGAGAGAAACCTCACAAGTGTAATGAGTGCGGCAAGACCTTTACTCAGAAGTCATCCCTGCAGTGCCATCATAGAATTCACACTGGAGAGAAACCTTACACATGTAATGAATGTGGTGAGAGTTTTAGTAGAAAAGCACGCCTTTCACATCATCAGAGCCTTCACACTGGACAGAAACCTTACAAGTGTAATGAGTGTGGCAAGAGCTTCAGCCGCAAGGCATCCCTGCAGTCCCATCATAAAATTCACACTGGAAAGAAACCTTACACACGTAATGAATGTGGCAAGGCTCTTAATAAACAAGCACTCCTTTCACGTCACTGTGGACTTCATGCTGGAGAGACACCTTATACATGTGAAGAATGCGACGAAGTTTTAAGTCGCAGATCACACCTTGAAAGACATAATGGAATTCATACTGGAGAGAAACCTTACACATGTAATGAATGTGGCAAGGGTTTTAATCAAAAGTTACAGCTTGCATATCATCTTAGACATCATACTGGAGAGAACCCTTACAGGTGTAGTGAGTGTGGCAGGGCCTTCAGTCAGTCATCGTACCTTGTAGTTCATCAAAGAATTCATAAAGGAGTGAAACCTCACAAGTGTGAGTGTGGCAAGACCTTCCATCGGTCATCATCCCTTTTAGTTCATCATAGAATTCATACAGGAGAGAAACCTTACAAGTGTAATGAGTGTGGCAAGACCTTCACTCAGTCATCAACCTTTTTTGTTCATCGTAGAATTCACACTGGAGAGAAACCTTACAAGTGTAATGAGTGTAGCAAGGCCTTCAGTCAGACGTCATCCCTTGTATACCATCGTAGGCTTCACACTGGAGAGAAACCTTATAAATGTAATGACTGTGGCAAGGCCTTCAGTCAGCCATCATTCCTTTTAGTTCATCATAGAATTCATACTGGAGAGAAACCTTACAAGTGTAATGAGTGTGGCAAGACCTTCAGTCAGATGTCATCTCTTACCTACCATCATAGTCTTCATATTGGAGAGAAACCTTACAAGTGTAATGAGTGTAGCAAGACCTTCCATTGGTCATCATCCCTTTTAGTTCATCGTAGAATTCATACAGGAGAGAAACCTTACAAGTGTAATGAGTGTGGCAAGAACTTCAGTCAGTCGTCAACCCTTTTAGGTCATCATAGAATTCATACAGGAGAGAAACCTTACAAGTGTATTGAATGTAGCCAGACCTTCCATTACAGGTCGTCTTTTACCTACCATTGTAGTCTTCATACTGGAGAGAAACCTTATAAGTGTAGTGACTGTGGCAAGACCTTCATTCAGTCATCATCCCTTTTAGTTCATCGTAGAATTCATACTGGAGAGAAACCTTACAAGTGTATTGAATGTAGCCAGACCTTCCGTTATAGGTCATCTTTTACCTACCATTGTAGTCTTCATACTGGAGAGAAACCTTACAAGTGTAATGACTGTGGCAAGACCTTCAGTCAGTCATCATCCCTTTTAGTTCATCGTAGAATTCATACAGGAGAGAAACCTTACAAGTGTAATGAGTGTGGCAAGACCTTCACTCAGTCATCATCCCTTTTAGTTCATTGTAGAATTCATACAGGAGAGAAACCTTACAAGTGTAATGAGTGTGGCAAGACCTTCAGTCAAAAGGCATCCCTTACAAAGCATCGTAGACTTCATACTGCCGAAAAACTTTAGAAATGTAATGAGTGTGGCAAGACCTTCAGGCAGATGTCATCTCTTGTAGTCCATTGTAAACGTCATACTGGAGAGAAACCTTAGAAGTGTAATGAGTGTAGCAAGAGCTTCACTTGAAATTCAGCCCTTGTAATTCATAAGGCAATTCATTCTGGAGATAAACTGACAAGTGTAATTAATGTGGCAAGGTTTATGATTAACAAACACACCTTGCACAACATTAGAGAGTTCATACTGGAGAGAAAGCTTACAAATGTAATGAATGTGGCAAAGCCTTTAGTGTGCAGTCAACACCCACCATCAAGCGATCCCTGGTATAGGGAAACGTAATGATTCTCACAGTGTTTTCAGTAGTTACAACCTGTAGGGCTGAGGGCCCCACAGGGTCGTGGGGTGAGCCTTATGCTGTACTGAGGCACAGGATCCGAGATATAAAGAGATAGGACTCAGAAGTACAAAGAAAATGCAGCTGGGCTCAGGGGGCCATGCCACCTATAAGTGGAGTCAGGTGAGGCTGTGAAAGTCCAGAAGCATGAGTATTGTATATAGGTTAGGGGGCAGGGCAGTGAGTGAAATCATCTTTAAGGATAGTGATAGGGTCGTGAGCAATAAAACATGGGGTTCACCCCATTAGGTCGCCTAGGCCAGGAGGTGGATAGTGCACAGCAAGGGGTCCGTTACCATGAAGGCAAGGGCCATGTGCAGTAAGGGGTCCACCCCCATTAGGTCACCGAGGCTTGAAGGTGGGCCGTGCACAGTGTGCAATACTTCTATCTATGGTCAAACTACCTTTTTTTTTTTTTTTTGAGACGATGTTTCGCTCCTGTTACCCAGGCTGGAGTGCAATGGCACGAGCTTGGCTCACCGCAACCTCTGCCTCCTGGGTTTAGGCAATTCTGCCTCAGACTCCTGAGTAGCTGCGACTACAGGCACGCGCCACCATCCCCAGCTAATTTTTTGTATTTTTAGTAGAGACGAGGTTTCACCATGTTGACCAGGATAATCCTGATCTCTTAACCTCGTGATCCACCCGCCTCAGCCTCCCAAATGCTGAGATTACAGGCGTGAGCCACCGCGCCTGGCCAAACTACTAAGAAGATTTATAGGAGGATGCTTTAAGTCACAGCAGTGACAGAGCTGTCAGGGTTATCGCCACCCTCTGGCAGCTTCCAATGGGTTCTATGGGAAGATGCTTTTCAAGCAGCACAGTAGCAAGAGCTGATAAAGTTCACAGTCACCAAGGTGGATTGCCGGTCTGAGGGCAGCCTTCCACAAGAACTGGAGCAAGGTCCTACAACTCCTTCATCAGGAGGAGTGGCTCTCGCCCCAAGCCTGCCGTACAGCGGGTATCTTTACTATACTGAACACTGCCACCTGGGCCATGGATTCTTGTCCTGGTATAACTGTTTTTCCCTTAAATCGTGCTCTGCACTGCGTCTGCTCTAGGCATTCCTGTGATTATAAGCTGCTTATTTCTTAATTCATGCTCTGTACTGTGTCCGCTCTAGGCATTCCTCTGATTATGAACTAAGATATATGTATATATGTAGGGAAATATTCTTTAGGCACTCAAACTATCAACTATTATATGATTATATATAGAGGATTATATAAAGGGATTCATCAAGCCCTATTTCTATAAACTATTATATGAGCTGGGCGCGGTGGCTCAAGCCTGTAATCCCAGCACTTTGGGAGGCCGAGGCGGGTGGATCGTGAGGTCAAGAGATCGAGACCATCCTGGTCAACACGGTGCAACCCTGTCTCTACTAACAATACAAAAAAATTTAGCTGGGCATGGTGGCGCGTGCCTGTGATCTCAGCTACTCGGGAGGCTGAGGCAGGAGAATTGCCTGAACCCAGGAGGAGGAGGTTGCAGTGAGCCAAGATCATGCCATTGCACTCCAGCCTGGGTAACAGGAGCGAAACTTTGTCTCAAAAGTAAATAAATAAACTATTATATGATTTTGTAAAGGATTATATAAAAGGAAATAGCTGAGTAGTAACACTATAAAGTGAGTGTGCCAGGGTTCTGCTTAGCTCTCATTCCTCAGTGCCTATATAGGGGTTACCCACAACAACCATTGCAAATTATTAGAGAATCCATAATAAAGAGACATCTTACAAGTGTAATAAATGTGACAAGTTTTACCATCATTGTTTATACCTGGCAGTTCATCAGGAAACTCATACTGGAAAGAAACCTTACCAATGTCATGATTGTGGCAAGATCTTCAGTTCAAGCTTCATCTTATGCGAAACACAGGAGAATTCATACAGGAGGGAAACCTCACTAGTGTGATGATTGTGGCAAAGCCTGTACTTCATGTTCACACCACATTAGACATCAGAAAATCCACACTGGGCAGAAATCTTACAAATGTCATAGTGTGGCAAGGTCTTCAGTCCAAAGTCACTCCTTGCAGAACATCAGAATATTCATTTTTTGATATAACTGCTCCAAATGCAATAAGTATAGCAAACCATTAAGCATTAATTGACATTGGAGTCAATTCACTATTGACTTGAGTTTGATTTGACTTAAAATTGAGTTCCAGCATTAATTGACATAAAAAGTGTTTATGTTAAAGAATGGGCTGGGCCCAGCAGTGACTCACACCTGAAATCCCAGCACTTTGAGAAGCCAAGGCAGATCACTTGAGGTCAGCAGTTAATGCAGCCTTTTTTTTTTTTTTTTTTTTCCTTTTGTTGTGATGAAATCTTTCTCTTGTCACCCAGGCTGAAGTGCAATGGTGTGGTCTTGTCTCTGCAGTCTGTTACCTTGCAGTTAAGCAATTCTTGTGCCTCAGCCTCTTGAATAGCTGGAATTACAGATGCATGCCACTACGCCATGCTAATTTTTGTATTTTTATATATATATTTTTTTCTTGAGATGGTGTCTCACTCTGCTGACAGACTGGAGTGCAGTGGTATGGTCTCAGCTAACTGCAACCTCTGCCTCCTGGCTTCAAGTGATTCTTGTACATCAGCCTTGTGAGTAGCTGAGACTACAGGTGCGTACCACAACGCCCAGTTAGTTTTTGTTCTTTTAGTAGAGACATGGTTTCACTGTGTTGGCCAGGATTGTCTCAATACTTGACCTCATGATCCTCCCGCCTTGGCTTCTTAAAGTGCTGGAATCACCAGAGCAAGCCCCCCAACTTGGCTTGTTTCTTATTCCTGTAAACAAAAACTAGGCTGGTGCGGGGCTAATACCTGTAATTCCAAGATTTTGGAAAGCCAAGGTGGGTGGATTACTTGAGTTCTAGATGAGCCTGTCCAATATGGTGAAACTCCATCTCTACTAAAAACAAAAATTAGCTGGGTGTCATGGCAAGCACCTCTAATCTTAACTACTCAAGAGACTGAGGCAAAAAAAAAAAAAAATCACTTGAGCCTGGGAGGTGAAGGTTGCAATGAGCCGTGATTGTTCCACTGTATTTTTGCCTGGGTCACAGGGGTCACCCTGTTTATTTAAAAAAAAAAAAAGCCTGGTGTGGCTCACGCCTGCAATTTCAGCACTTTGGGAGTCTGAGGCGGATGGTTTGCTTGAGGTAAGGAGTTCCAGACCAGCCTGGCCATGGTGGCTCATGCTTGTAATCCTAGCACTTTGGGAGGCTGAGGCAGGCAAATCATGAGGTCAGGAGATCGAGACCATTCTGGCTAACAGGGTGAAATCCCGTGTCTCCTAAAAAAAAAAGTACAAAAAGTTAGGCATAGTCACATGACCTGTGGTCCCAGCTACTTGGGCGGCGGACAGGAGGAGAAGGCTGGAGCTAATACTGCGTCACTGAACTACAGCTTAGGCAGCACAGCGGGTACTTACGTCTAAAATACTTAGGTCCATATAATGTTTCTAAATAGATATAGGTATTGTAGTCGGAGCTGTACCGACAGGTTTAGTGCTGATTTACATAATCCTATATGACTATATAGTAGTTTGTAGTAGGAGGAATGCCTAGAGCAGTTACAAAGCGGAAGCAGTATATGAGGAAACAGCCAGACCAGGACAAGAACCAAAGACCCAGGGGGTGGCATCCCTGCCTGAAAGGGCATACGCTGTATGGCAGTGAATGGAGAATATAAAGGGAGAGGATGTCTATTCTGCTCTGTGGATTGTCAGCATGAAATTGTAGGTTCCGCTCAAGCAGGGCTTTCAATTTCAAATTCTAGTTTGCATTTCTATTCCGGGCAATTCCAAAGCTTTTGAATCGTCCCTCAGCCTTCCTGGCCGGTCTCACCTCCAAACCCAAAAAACGGGCGCTGGGAGCCAGGCTGAGAAACACACAAGTCCCGCCACGGCCTGCCCTCTGCTAGTTCTGAAAGGCAAGGTCTCTCCACCTCGCGCCGCGCCCCTCCCTTGCCCACCCCCTCGTGGGTCCCGCCCAGGCCGGCCTTCAGCGCTGCGCACGCAGATTCGCGCAGACCCGGAAAAAGATCGCGTGGGATGAAGGTCACACCGCGGTGCGTGAGTTTCCCTCTGTCTTGTCTGCGCTTCTCAGGTCCCCGGCGCTTGTGTACCTGGGATGTAGGGTCCCCACAAACCGGGAAATTCTCACCCTGCCCTCCTTCACCTCATGCAAATTGAGACATCCCTGTGAGAGTCCGGGGGTCGCTTACTTTTGGATTTAAAGTTGCCCTGCCGCTGGTCCCCTCTCCGGTCTTTCTACCATAGGGCAATGTGTGCCCTTTTTATTGCATAATTTTTCCGCTCAAAACCTTTTTCTGACTTCTCCCTCCCCGCGGTTTTTGAAGGCCTCACGCGAGAGGTGGATTTCCTCCTTGGGCACCTCCCACCCTCGACTTCGTCGCCCCTCGAAGCCCAGCGCCACGGTCCCAATCCCGGGGAGGCCGCATCCTCTGCCTCGTCCTGGGATCCTGCAGACCCCACCCTTGTCTTAAGGCGCCGTCGCCCCCCAGCTCCTTCCTCGTACCGATCCCTGCTGCACCCCAGGTCTCCCCTCCGCAGTCACCGCTTCCCTGAGCCCGCGTTGGGGAGGTGTCCAGGGCTTGTCCTGTGACAGGAGGCGTTCGTGCCTGCCCAGCTCCAGCCCTTGGAGAACGTGCTTCTCCGGCATGTAGGCGACTATCTCCAAACCCTCCTGTGATTGTGTGGCCAAAGGGATCAGGAGACAGTTAGAGAGCAGTAGAAAACCTGAGACAGAGAAAAGAAAAATGAGAAAGACACGTAACAGATGGCAAAGTAGAGGATGGGTGAGGGATTTGCCATGAGACAGCAAAAGTGGGAAAAAAAAAAGCAGGAGGGGAAAACCAACTGGAGAAATGTAGAGAAAAGCGTGATGTACAGAGAGATGAAGGACAGCAAGGCAGGGATGGGGCAGCAAAGAGGGAGGCTCATGAGTGAGGGAGACGAGGAGGGACTTGGAGCCGGGGCAGACAGAGCGGAGTGGTGCTGGTGGCAAGGAGAACAGAGGGAGCCGCAGCAGGGAGGACACCTGGGGATGTGGGGAGCCAGAGAGTGGGGACAAGAGTATAACAGGGAAGAGAGAATTTAACAGGGAGAGCAGAGGAGGCGCAGAGAGGGGAGAAGAGGTAAAAAGATGCGGAGATTGAGGACAATAGAAAGATTGGGGAGAAGGAGCAACAAGAGCTTAAATAAGTGGCCAGGATGGAGCAGAAGAGGCAGAAAAGAAGGAATAGAGGGGAGAAGGGGATAAACAGCAGGAGAGAAGAGTGGTACAAAATGAGGAGCAGAATTCCAGAAAAAAATGACAAGAAAAGAGCTAGAGGGAGAAGGAGAGCATGAGAGACCAGCTGGGCAACATAGTGAGACCCCCATCTCTGCCCGCCCCACCAAAAAAATTAACTGGGCGTGATGGTGTGCACCTGTAATTCCAGCTACCCTGGAGGCCCAGGCAGGAGAATCGCTTGAGCCCAGGAGGTCCAGGCTGCAGTGAGCCAAGATTATGCCACTGCACTCCAGCCTGCTCAACAGAGCAAGACCCTGTCTCAAAAGAAAAAAAGCTATGGGAGAGCAATGTATTCTCTTTTTTTTTGAGAGAAAGTTTTGCTAATGTTGGGCAGGCCGGAGTGCAATGTTGTGATCTTGACTCACCACAAACTCCACCTCCTGGGTTCAAGTAATTCTCCTGCCTCAGCCTCCCGAGTAGCTGGAATTAAAGGAGACCACCACCATGACCAGGTAATTATTTGTATTTTTAGTAGACATGAGATGTCACCATGTTGGCCAGGCTGGGCTCCAGCTTCTGACCTCAGGTGATTCGCCTGCCTCAGCTTCCCAAAATACTGGGATTACAGGCATAAGCCACCTCGCCCAGCCACCCATGTATTCTTGATTGAAAAAATTTGCTTATGTCTTAGTTCTACAACTGACCTTTTTTCATTGTTTTCAAGGTCAATAGCTGTGTGTTCACCCTTCTGCATTTTATTTTACGTATTTATTTGTTTTTTGAGACGAAGTTCACTCTTGTCGCCCAGGCTGGAGTGCAGAGGCAAGATCTCGGCTCACCACAACTTCTACCTCCCATGTTTAAGCAATTCTCCTGCCTTGGCCTCCCAAGTAGCTGGGATTATAGGCCTGTATCACTGACCCCACCTAATTTTTGTGTTGTTTTTGTTTTTACTTTTTGTTTTTTGATGGAGTTTTCACTCGTTACCCAGGCTGGAGTGCAATGGCGCCATCTCGGCTCACCGCAACCTCCGCCTCCTGGGTTCAGGCAATTCTCCTGCCTCAGCCTCCTGAGTAGCTGGGACTACAGGCACGCGCCACCATGCCTAGCTAATTTTTTGTATTTTTAGTAGAGACAGGGTTTCACCACGTTGACCAGGATGGTCTCGATCTCTTGACCTCGTGATCCACCCGCCTCAGCCTCCCAAAGTGCTGGGATTACAGGCGTGAGCCACCGCCCCCAGCCCAGTTTTTGTGTTTTTAGTAGAGACAGAGTTTCACTATGTTGGTCAGACTGGTGTTGAACTCCTGATCTCAGGTGATCTACCCACTTTGGCCTCCCAAAGTGCTGGCATTATAAGTGTGAGCCACTGCACCCAGCCTCACACTTCTGCATTTTATAAATGTTGCTGTGACTTTCTTAGAAAGAAGAATTAAATGTAGGGAATTAATGGCATCAGAACCTTGCAAAAGAAGTTTCTTTAGCCCAGGTATGTAATGGATGGTTCTCTAATTTTTAATGATTGGGGTGATAAAGACCAACCCTTCCCATTAGCCCTTCCAGGCCACCATGTGAGAATTCAGGCACACCTTCTCACTCATCTCAGACTTTTTCAGAGTAACGTGGTGTGAATGTCTCCCTCTCTGAGCGTCAGTGACTCTCCCTACAACTTGGAGATGAGAGGCTAGACCAGAAAAGCTCAACCTGAGTGACCCTGGCCCTGGAAATTTTTGGCAAAATAGAGTGCGTGTTTGGGTGTGGCTTTTCTTCTGGGACAGGGGAGTGACCAGTTGTAATTAGAATTTTCAATGTCATGCAATACCCCAAAAATTAAAAAAAAAAAAAAGAAGAAGAAGAATGGAAGAAACATAGGTGTAGACTCAGAGATCATCTTCCATGGCCCTTCTCTGTATTAGGATATCACAGCTCAATCTAAAGCAGGTCATGTCGGTCCCTGGTAGGGAACCCTCTACCGGCTTCCTGCGTTCCCCAGGACAAAAGCCTGACTCCTCCGTGTGGCTCCACAGCCCTGTGTCCAGGGCCCTGGCCCATGTCCAGCCTCCTCCTGGGAGCCTGCCCTCATCTCATGACTCCCTCTGCCCCAGTCACAGTTGCTTATCAGTCAGTCTCTATCACGTGACTCATGTTTTATTATCTCTTCATCAATCACATAAAAATGCTCTTTTTTTTTCTTTTCTATTTTTGTTTTTGTTTTTTGGAACAGAGTTTCACTTTATTGTCCAAGCTGTGAGTGTAGTTTCATGATCTTGGCTCACTGTAACCTCTGTCTTCTGGGTTCAAGCCATTCTTGTGCCTCAACCTCCCAAGTAACTGGGATTACAGTTGTGTGCCACCACACCCAGCTAATTTTTGTATTTGTATTTTATTTTTTATATTTTTGAAATGGATGGCCAGGCACTGTGGCTCACACCTATAATCCCAGCACTTTGGGAGGCCAAGGCGGGTGGATCACAAGGTCAAGAGATCGAGACCATCCTGGTCAACATGATGAAACCCCATCTCTACTAAAAATACAAAAATTAGCTGGGCACGGTGGTGCGCACCTCTAGTCCCAGCTACTCGGGAGGCTGAGGCAGGAGAATTGCTTGAACCCAGAAGGCGGAGGTTGCGGTGAGCCGAGATCGTGCCATTGCACTCCAGTCTGGGTAACAACAGTGAAACTCCTCAAAAAAAGAGAAATGGAGTTTGGCTCCTGTTGCTCTGGCTGGACTGCAATGGTGCGATCTCAGCTCACCACAACCTCTGTGTCCTGAGTTCAGGCGATTCTCCTACCTCAGCGTTTTGAGTAGCTGGAATTAATGGCATATGCAACCATGCCCAGCTAATTTTTTGTATTTTTAGTAGAGACAGGGTTTCCCCACATTGGCCAGGCTGGTTTCAAACTCCTGATCTCAAGTGATTAACCCACCTCAGTCTCCCAAAGTTCTGGGATTACAGGCATGAGCCACTACGCCCGGCTGAAATTCATTATTTTATAAAATTCTTTGTTGTCATGGGAGAAAAATGTTTGAAGACTTGGTCCCTGCCTGATCTGGGTTCCCAGGACCTCTCTGACCTCATCTCCTGCCTGTGTCCTCCTCACTCCCTCTGCTCCAGCCACACAGGCCTCTTTCCTGTTCCTGGGGCCAAGGTTGCTCCTACCTCAAGGCCCTCACGTGGGCCGTGTCTCTGCTGGAACTCACTGGCCCCGCAAGTGCAGGCACAGGCACACCTCCTTCCCCGGTGTCTGTTCTGATATCACCTCTCAGTGGGGACTTCTGTGACCCACCTCCCAGTGAGCACTGCAGCCACACCCTCACCCCACCTCTGGTCCATATTGGCTGTTCTGCATGCTTCTTTTTTATTCTTCACCTTCCACCGCCTCGGTACTGATGATCCAAGGCCCCAGGGGGAGAGCAGAGCCTAATCGGGGCTGCGCTGGGCTCGCCTCCTCCTCCTCCGAGTGGATCTCAACTGTGGCTTCACAGTAGAGTGCTGGGGAATTTACACGATATCTTTTATGCTCCAGAGATTCTCCTTCACACACTCAGGGTAGGTCTGAGTTGGTTTTTGTTTGTTTGTTTTTAATGGCAATTTTATGAGTTTTTTTTTTTTTTATTGAGACAAAGTTTCACTCCTGTATCCCAGGTTGAAAGGTTGAAGTACAATAGCACAATCTCAGCTCCCTGCAACCTCTGCCTCCCTGGTTCAAGTGATTCTCCTGCCTCAGCCTTCCAAGAATCTGGGATTACAGGCATGTGCCACAACACCCAGCTAATTTTTTTTTTTAGTAGAGATGTTGTTTATCCATATTGGTCAGGCTGGTCTGGAACTCCTGACCTCAGGTGATGCACCCGCCTCTGCTTCTTAAACTGCTGGAATTACAGGCATGAGCAACTGTGTCCTACCTTAACTTTATGTTTACGATGATGAGTGATTGGTTCTCATCCACAGTGCCGGCCTGTAGGTTTCTGAAAGTGATAACATGTACCCAGGTAACCACAGCGTAGAGCTTATTTGGTGAGTCTTCATCCTCATTACATTGTCTGGACAACCACACGTGGACATGGTGTGGGACAGTTTTGTTGAGCCTGGTATCAATGCACACACCTGGAGTTTTCATCTCCTTCATGGCAAGTTTATGAATCTCTTCTTGAAGCCCACACCATGGATGCGCTTGTGAGTGTCGATGGTGCACTCTCGGGTCACCGCCTCATTGATGGCAGAACGGCTCTTTTTTTTTTGCCACCCTTCTTTGTGGGGTGAAAAGTTTCTTCCAGGTCTAACATGAAAAGTTGACCTGAGTTCTAATAATATTTAAAGTTGACTCTGTGGCCATCATTGAGCAGCAAGTTTTTTTTTTGTTTCGAGTTGGAGTCCTGCTCTGCTGCCCAGGCTTGAGTGCAATGGCAGGATCCTGGCTCACATCAACCTCCTGCTCCTGGGTTCAAGTGATTCTCCTGCCTCAGCCTCGCGAGTAGCTGGGATTACAGGCATCCACCACCATGACTGGCTATTTTTTGTATTTTTAGTAGGGATGGGTTTTCCCCATACTTGCTAAGCTGATCTCTGAGCCAGGCTGGCCTCAAACTTCTGACCTCGTGGTTCACCTGCCTTGGCCTCCCAAAGTGCTGGGATTACAGGCATGAGCCATCATACCCGGCCTTTATTTATTTATTTTTTAAAGATAGAGTCTCACTCTTATCACCCAGGCTGGAGTGCACTTGTCCAATCTTGGCTCATTGCACTCTTTGCCCTTTAGGCTCAAGTGATCCTCCCACCTCAATCAGCCTCCTATGTAGCTGAGACCACAGACACACAGACATGTACCACCATGCCTAAGTTTTTATGCTGTTTGCAGAGATGGGGTTTCACCATGTTGCCCAGGCTGGTCTCAAACTCCTGACCTCAAGCAATCCACCTGCCTTGGCCTCTTAGAGTGCTGGGATTACAGGTGCCACTGCACCCAGCATCTGCATGGGGTTTGCTGAGGGCTGGGTCTGTGCCCTGAAGGGGAGCTCATTCCAGCCCAGCTCCTCACTGCTGCAGCATGTGTGTGGGGGCTTCTCCAGAAGGGGAGCAGATTCTGAAGAAAGGGGTCTAAACTTCACTGAGTTTTCCTGTAGGAGTTTATTATCCTGATGTAGTGGGCAGCAGAGGGGACTGTATTTCCTCAGGGTGAGGTCTTATTGTATGTGTTGGGGTACATACACAGAGAGGGGGTGTGTTGATTCTGAGCAATAAACAACATATTTTTAACATTCAGGACTGTCTTCTAAAGACTCTTGATACGTGAGGAAGAACCCCGGAAGAAAAAGAGGAAAGCAAAGGAGTCAGGGATGGCTCTTCCTCAGGTGAGATGATCTTCTCGGTGGATTGTTCTTCTTCCTTTCAGAAATGCTGGGCCTTGGAATTGGGAATCTTCTCTGAGTCTGAAGCGTCCTGCCTGCCAGGTTTGCTGGCACTCACCCATGCCTTCCCTCACTCCCTCTCATGTCAACTAGATTCCATCCCTGGTGCCCCAGTGACAGGAGCATGGGAAGAGGCTGCACTGGGCATGGTCCTGGGAAGGGCTCACCCCAGATATGGATGGAGACGGGGTGTGGGCCCCATGGTGTCAGGGCTGCTGGGCAGCAGGGATTGTTCAGGGGCCACATCTGATGCACCATCAGCTCTCTGTAGACCAGGAGCAGAGCAGCTGCCCGTGGACACTACATATTAATGTGCACAAAGTACGTGGGAAATTCTAGGAAAGGAGACCAATAAGGGGAAGTCTTTTCTGCCAGATTCTGTGCTACACGTTGAGGTAATTGAGTGAGTTTCTGTGTTTCTGACTCCAAACATCTCACTGATTAGAATGGAGCATTAATACACAGACATGAATGATACAAGGTGTTTTATTCCATTAGTTTAAGTATGAGAAACCAACCTAAATAATAGCAGGAGATTCATTAAAATATTCTTTTTTTTTTTTTGAGACAGAGTTTCGCTCTCGTTACCCAGGCTGGAGTGCAATGGCGCGATCTCGGCTCACTGCAACCTCCGCCTCCTGGGTTCAAGCAATTCTCCTGCCTCAGCCTCCTGAGTAGCTGGGATTACAGGTGCGCACCACCACGCCCAGCTAATTTTTGTATTTTTAGTAGAGACGGGGTTTCACCATGTTGACCAGGATGGTCTCGATCTCTTGACCTTGTGGTACACCTGCCTCGGCCTCCCAAAGTGCTGGGAATATAGGCTTGAGCCACTGCGGTTGGCCTCATTAAACTATTCTTAGTGCATTAAGCTCATGGAGACTGTGGTGTTGCTGTGGAAAGGCTTTGAAACAGGCCTTTTCAGTAAAAATGGTTCTAATGTCCTTAAATATGGAAGTAGGACTTCATTTTTATTCTAAAGGATGGAGCCATATTCTCATTCTACCTATTATTAATATTATTCTTTTAGAGAAACCGTTGCTTTGTCATTCAGGCGGGAGTGCAGTGGTGTGATCTCGGCTCACTGCAACCTCTGCCTCCCTGGTTCATGTGATTCTCCCGCTTCAGTCTCCCAAATAGCTGCCATTATAGGCCCCTGCCACCACAGCCAGCTAATTCTTCCGTGTTTTTAGTAGAGATGGGCTTTCACCACGTTGGTCACGCTGGACTCAAACTCCTGACCTCAGATGATGCCCTTGACTTAGCCTCCCAGAGTGCTGGGATTACAGGTGTGGCCACTGTGCCCAGCCCCACCAATTATTATTGAATAAACGTTTTTGTATTTAAACACCATTGTTTTGTGTAAAGCTCCAGGCCCTTGGCCATAAAGCTCCTCCTTCCTCTGTCACGTCCTCCACCCTCCTTCCAGCCTCACCGGGGACCCACTACTGTCAGTTCTGTGTCAGGTGTCAGGGGAAGTCTTATAATCGTGTATTTCTGCATCTGTATGAGACTTTTAGAAAAAATCTGCAATGATAAAAAAATTTTTTTTTATATTTATGTTTTAACTTTAGACTACGTGTGAAGGTTTGTCACATAGGTAGGCTCGTGTCATCGGGGCTTGTTGTACAGATCATTTCATCACTTCAGTATTAAGCACTTACCTAATAGTTATTTTTTATTTACCTTTTTTTTGGGGGGATGGGAGTCTCGCTTGTCACCCAGGCTAAAGTGCAGTGGCAGAATCTTGGCTGACTGCATCCTCCACCTCCCGGGTTCAAGCAAGTCTCTGCCTCAGGCTTTCAAGCACCTGGAATTGTAGGTGCCCGCCACACCGCCCGGCTAATTTTTGTATTTTTAGTAGAGATGGTGTTTTACCCTCTTGGCCAGGCTGGTCTCAAACTCCTGACCTCAAGATTTGCCGACTTTGACCTCCCAAAGTGCTGGAATTACAGGCATGACCAACTGCACCTGGCTGTTTACCTTTTTTTTTTTTGAGACTGAGTTTTTTCTTTGTCACGGAGGCTGGAGTATAATGGCATAATCTTGACTCACTGCAACCTTCACCTCCTGGGTTCAAGTGATTCTCAGGCCTCAGCCTCCTGAGTAGCTGGTGTTACAGGTGCCCACCACTATGCCTGGCTAATTTTTGTTTTGTTTTTGTTTTTTGAGACAGAGTCTTGCTCTGTTTCTCAGGCTGGAGTGCAGTGGAATGATCTTGGCTCACTGCAACCTCTACTTCCCAGGTTCAAGCAATTCTCCTGCCTCAGCCTCCTGAGTAGCTGGGATTACAGGTATGTGACACCATGCCCAATTAATTTTTGTATTTTTAGTAGAGACAGGGTTTCACCATATTGGTGAGGCTGGTCTCAAACCTCTGACCTCGTGATCTGCCCACTTTGGCCTCCCAAAGTGCTTGGATTACAGACATGAGCCACTGTGACAGGACAATTTTTGTATTTTAGTAGGGACAGGGTTTCACCATGTTCACCACACCGGTCTTATACTGCTGAGCTCAGGTGATCCACCCACCATGGCCTTCCAAAGTGCTGGGATTGCAGCCATGGCCGTCACGCCCAATTGAATTTTAGTTTCCGATTTTTCACTGTGGACATTGTCATTTCTGAAAACATCATTCATGTTCTGTCTCATGTAGATACAAAATGTTACTTGGTGTGTCGGTAAAATTTTCAAACATTTCTTTAGTGAGAACGCTATGTAGATTTTTTGGTTTGTGTTTTTTTTTTTTTTTTTTTTTGAACATATTTAATAGCTGTTGTGTGTATTTCTTGTATTATCAACAAACACAAGAAATCCATACCAAGAGGGCATCATGACCTTTTTAAAAAGTATAATAAACACAACTGGGAAGACATAATGTGGTGAAAAATCCCTTTCTTCATTTGTCAGAACATTCCCTACAATTAAATCCGTGCTTTTACCTCTGTCCTCTTATCATTCTCTGTAGAGATCAGAACTCCTCCCGTAACCATGTGGTTAAAATGTGTTTTCATTTCAGGGTCTATTGACATTCAGGGATGTGACCATAGAATTCTCTCAGGAGGAGTGGAGATGCCTGGACCCGGCTCAGAGGACTTTATACAGGGACGTGATGCTGGAGAACTACAGGAACCTGGTCTCCCTGGGTGAGGATAACTTCCCTCCGGAAGCGGGGATGTGCGCTTGGGTATTTAGATGTTGCTCGTTCTTCATGATACCTCATTGGGGGTTCCAGATCTAAAGTAGGCAAAAACCTGATGGTGGGCCAGGTGCACTAACTCACACCTGTGATCCAAGCACTGTGGGAGGCTGAGGCTAGTGGATCGCTTCAGGTCAGGAGTTCAAGACCAGCCTGGCCAACATGGAAAAACCCCGTCTCTACGAAAAATGCAAAAATTAGCCAGGCATGGTTGTGACCTCCAGTAATTCTAGATACCAGAAAGGCTGAGGAAGCAGAATCGCTTGAACCTGGGAGGTAGAGGTTGCAGTGAGACGAGATCATGTCACTGCACTCCAGCATGAGCTAAAGAGCAAGACTGTATCTCAAGAAAACAAAAGCAAAACCTTCTGGCAGACTTGAAAGATATCAGTTCCCTGTTTGTTACTCCTGTGCTGTTTACTCAGTAGTTCCTAGAAAGAAGCGTGATTTCCACATATTACAATGCTCTCTAAGCATTCCGAAGGAGGCAGTCAGTGGAGCAGTGTGAAATGTTTTCCTCCATACATCTGGAATGCCTTCTTTCCAACTGGGACACTAGAAAAGCTCCAGCACAGAGGCAGGAGAATTCCCTGAACCCAGGAGGTGGAGGCTGCAGTGAGCCGAGATTGCGCCATTGCTCTCCAGCCTGGGTAACAAGAGAAAAAAAACCCGTCTCAAAAAAAAAAAGAAAGAAAAAGAAAGAAAAGCTCCAGCACATCACATTTCTTTCTCTTTGCAAGCAGGAGCCTCTGTCTGACCTGTTGTCTCCATGATGAAGCCAGGGAAAGAGCCCTGGACTGTGGAGAGTCAAGTAAAAATAGCAGAAAAATCTAGATGGGTGGGAATGTACTACAGCTGTAATCACAAGTGGGAGCTACGATGGGCAGAGTAGAAACTGCACCTTCAAATAGTGTGTGGGGATGTGTGGCCAAAAAAAACGATGAGTTTATGTCCTTTGCAGCCACCTGGATAAAGCTGGAGACCATCATTTTCAGCAAAATGGCAGAAGAACAGAAAATCAAACACTGCATGTTCTCATTCATAATTGAGTGTTGGACAGTGAGAACACATGGACACAGGGAGGGAAACATCACACACTAGGGGAGGGATGGCAGGGATGGGGACTAGGGGAGGGAGAGCATTAGGAGAAATACCTAATGCAGATGACGGGGTGATGGATGCAGCAAAGCACCATGGCACGTGGATACCTTTGTAACTAACCTGCTTGTTCTGCTCGTGTACCCCAGAACTTAAAGTATAATAATAATAAATAAATATAGGAAATACATAAAGAAGTAAATAGTGAGTGAGGAAACTGCAAGCGGGAGGATTCTTCGGAAAAAGGAAAGCTTAAATTCTGAGATCTCTGAATGGACACCTTTCTTTGTCCCCACTTGTCCTTCGTTTGCTATTTATTTATTTTTGAGATGACGTCTTGCTCTTTTGCCTAGGCTGGAGTGCAGTGGCACATAGTTCACTGCAACCTCTGCCGCCTGGGTTCAACATGATTCTCCTGCCCAAGCCTTTCAGGTAGCTGGGACTTCAGGTGTGCACCACCATCAGACCTAGCTAATTTTTGTATTTTTAGCAGAGACAACGTTTCACTGTGTTGGCCAGGCTGGTCTTGAACTCCTGATTTCAGGTGATCCACCCCCCTCAGCCTTCCACAGTGCTGGGATTAAAGGTGTGAGCCACTGCACCTGGCCTGTCTGCTCTCCAGATGTGCAGGAGTTTGATCTTTGGGTGTTCTAGCGGTGCTGCAGCTCAGAGACAAAAGCAGAGTCTTCTCTTCATTGATATGACAGTATATATATATATATATATATATATATATTTTTTTTTTTTTTTTTTTTTTTTTTTTTTTGAGATGGAGTTTCTCTGTTGTTACTCAGGCTGGAGTGCAATGGCATGATCGCGGCTCACTATAACCTCTGCCTTCTGGGTTCAGACAATTCTCCTGCCTCATGATCCCGAGTACCTGGGACTACAGGCACATGCCACCATGCCCAGCTAATTTTTTGTATTTTTAGTAGAGATGGGGTTTCACCATGTTGACCAGGATGGTCTTGATCTTTTGACCTCATTATCCACTCGCCTTGGCCTCCCAAAGTGCTGGGATTACAGGCGAGAGCCACTGCGCCCGGCTGGACAGTATATATTTTTTTCAGGCCAGTCGCGGTGGCTCATGCCGGTAATCCAAGCACTTTGGAGGCCAAGGCTGGTGGATCACCTGAGGTCAGGAGTTAAAGACCAGCCTGACCAACATGGTGAAACCCTGACTTTATTAAAAAAAAAAAAAAAAAGAAATGTATTTTTTGCAAAGTATTATACACTTTAGGGTCACTGTGGAAAAATACTCCTTTCTTTAGGCTTACACGTGCTTGTCCTCTGTCAGTGTTTTGTTGTGATACTGGAAATAGGCTTCAGTAGACATGGCTTGAAGTCCATGTAATCACCGTTTATTTATTGAACAGTCTCACTTCTTTTGTGTTCCTTTTTGTGTGTCATATTCATACATTTTAGTATTATTTACTATTTGTACTTAATTGGAAACCTATTTGTGTTTATATTTTGTAGATATCTCTTCCAAATACAAGATGAAGGGGCTCTTGTCAACAGCACAAGGCGATACAGACGGGTTCCACACAGGGATATTAGATAGACATGAAAGTCATCACATGGGAGATTTCTGCTTCCAGGAAATTGACAGAGATATTCATGATTTTGAGTGTAGAAATAGCCATGAGGCGCTCATGAGAAAAGTTGAAAAGCTTCCTTGTGGTACAGACCAAGATGACGAAACGCACGCTGGCAACAAGCCTGTTACGGATCAGCTGGGATTAAGCTTTCATTCGCATTTGCCTGAACTGCACATATTTCGGACGGAAGGGAAATTCGGTAATCAAGTTGAGAAATCTATCAATGATGTTTTCTCAGTTTCAGCGCCAGAAATCATTTCTTGTAGGCCGCAAACCCATATTTCTAATAAGTATGACAACTTCCCCCATTCTTCATTACTCACACAAAACCCGAAAGTTCATGTGAGAGAAGTATCTTTCCAATGTCATGAGAAAGAAGCCTCTAACTGTAGCTCTCTCTTGAGGAAACATCAGATAATCCATTTAGGAGAGAAACAATATGAATGTGATGTGTGTGGAAAGGCCTTTAATCAGAAGCCATACCTTGAAGGCCATTGTAGATGTCACACTCGTGAGAAATCTTACACGTGTAATGAGTGTGGCAAGAGCTTCAGTCAGAAGTCAACCCTTACACGCCACTCTAGACTTCACACTGGAGAAAAACCTTACAAATGTAAGGAGTGTGGCAAAGCCTTTTGTCAGAAATCATCTTTTGTATACCATTGTAGACTTCATACTGGAGAGAAACTTTACAAATGTGAAGAATGTGACAAAGTTTTTAGTCGCAAATCAGACCTTGAAAAACATAAAATAATTCATACCGGAGAGAAACCATACAAATGTAAGGTGTGTGATAAGGCTTTTGGGCGTGGTTCACACCTGATGCAACATTCTAGAATTCACACTGGAGAGAAACCTTACAAGTGTAAGGAGTGTGGCAAAGCCTTTCGAGGGCAGTCAACACTTACTTATCATCAGTCCACCCATGGTATAGGGAAACTTTACAAGTGTAATGATTGTCATCACGTCTTCAGTAACGCTACAACCATTGCAAGGCATTGGAGAATCCATAATAAAGAAAGATCTTACAAGTGTAATAAATGTGGCAAGTTTTTCAGACATCGTTCATACCTTACAGTTCATCGGCGAACTCACACTGGAGAGAAACCTTACAAATGTGAAGAATGTGATGCAGTTTTCAGCTGCAAATCAAACTTTGAAAGACATAGAAGAATTCATACTGGAGAGAAACCTTACAGGTGTAAGGAGTGTGGCAAGACCTTCAGTCAGATGTCATCCCTTACATATCATCATAGAATTCATACAGGAGAGAAACCTTACAGATGTCATGAGTGTGGCAAGACCTTCCATCAGAAGTCATCCCTTACATGCCACCATAGACTTCGTATTGGAGAGAAACCTTACAGGTGTAACGAGTGTGGCAAGACCTTCCGACATAATTCAGCCCTTGTAATTCATAAGGCAATTCACACTGGAGAAAAACCTTACAAGTGTAATGATTGTGGCAAGGTTTTTAATCAACAAGCAAACCTTGCCTGTCATCGTAGAATTCACACGGGAGAGAAACCTTACAAGTGTAATGAGTGTGGCAAGACCTTCAGTCAGAAGTCATCTCTTATATGCCACCATAGACTTCATACTGGAGAGAAACCTTACGAGTGTAATGAGTGTGGAAAGACCTTCCGTCACAATTCAGCCCTTATAATTCATAAGGCAATTCATACTGGAGAGAAACCTTACAAGTGTAATGAATGTGGCAAGGTTTTTAATCAACAAGCAAACCTTGCACGTCATCATAGGCTTCATACTGGAGAGAAACCTTATATGTGTAATGATTGTGGCAAGGTTTTTAATCAACAAGCACACCTTGCACGTCATCATAGGCTTCATACTGGAGAGAAACCTTACAAATGTGAAGAATGTGACAAAGTTTACAGTCGCAAATCAAGTCTTAAAAGACATAGGAGAATTCATACTGGAGAGGAACCTTACAAATGTGAAGAATGTGACAAAGCTTTCAGTCGCAAATCAAACCTTGAAAGACATAGAAAAATTCATACTGGAGTGAAACCTTACAAATGTAAGATTTGTGACAAGGCTTTTGGGCGTGATTCACACCTGGCAGAACATACTAAAATTCACACTGGAGAGAAACCTTACAGGTTTAATGAGTGTGGCAGAACCTTTAGTGCGCAGTCAACACTTAACACCATGAAGCAATCCATGGTATAGGGAAACTTTTCTAATGTAATGATTGTCACCCAGTCTTCAATAACGCTACAACCAATGTGCATTCTCCAATGCAAATCATTGGAGAATCCATAATGAATGGATTCTTGCAAGTGTAATCAATTTCACAAATGTTTTAGACATTGTTCATACCTTTCAGTTCATTGGCGAACTCATACTCGAGATGCCCCTTACAAATGTCATAACTGTGGCAAGGTCTTCAGTCAATTTTCATCTTATGCAAAACAGAAAAATTCATACAGAAGAGAAACCTCACAAATGTGATTATTGTGGCAAAGTCTTCACTGCACGTTCACACCATATTAGATATTAGAGAATCCATACTGGCAGAAATCTTACAAATGTCATAAGTGTCACAAGGTCTTCAGGCACAGGTCACTGCTTGCAGAACATTGGAAAATTCATTTTTGGCCGGGCATGGTGGCTCTCGCCTGTAATCCCAGCACTTTGGGAGGTCGAGGTGGGTGGATCACGAGGTGAAGACATCGAGACCATCCTGGTCAACATGAAACCCCGTCTCTACTAAACATACAAAAAATTAGCTGGGCATCATGGTGCGTGCCTGTAATCCCAGTTACTTAGGGGACTGCGGCAGGAGAATTGCCTGAACCCAGGAGGTGGAGGTTGCAGTGAGCCGAGATCATGCCATTGCACTCCAGCCTGGGTAACAAGAGCGAAACTCCGTCTCAAAAAGAAAAAAAGAATTCGTTTTTGAGATAATGTTCTTAGATGCAATGAGTCTAGCAAATCATCAAACATTAATTGACATTAGAGTCAATTCAGCATTGACTTGAGTTTGAGTTGACTTAACATTGAGAGTCAGCATTAATTGATATGAAAGTGTGTATGTTAAGAGGATTGGACTGGGTGGGGTGGCTCACATCTGTATTCTTAGCACTTTGGGAGGCAAAGACAGGTACATCCTGTGTGTTTAGTTTGAGACCAGCCTGGGCAACAGATGGAAGCCACTTTTCCCAGCCTGTGTTTTGTTTCTTTAGAAATCTGATAGAGGTTTTTGTGGGTATTCTGTTGAATCCAGATCACATTGGGTTTTACAGTCATTCAATAATGTTTCTCCGATTCATCAATATGGGTTGTATCTCTATATATGTCTTTAATCATTTTGATGAATGTTTGTAGATTTCATGGTTCAAACTTCTCACCTTCTACATTTACTCCTAAGTATTTCTTTAAGTTCTCTAGCAAATAGAACTGTGTTTTTAATTTCTTTTAAAATTGTTTACTGTTTTATTTAAATTCAGCAAATTTGAAGTGCTAAATTTGTTACACTAATATTTAGTGCAATTACACTAAATATGTTTATTTTACCAATAATATTTTGGTTGATTCTTTGAGATTTTCTTTTCTTGCTTTTCTTTTCTTTCTTTTTTTTTTTTTTTTTTTTTAGAGGCAGTGTCAGTCTTGCTGCTCGAGCTGGAGTGCAATGGTGTGAGCTTGGCTCACTGCAGCCACCGCCTCCTGAGTTAAGTGTTTCTCCTACCTCAGCCTCCTGAGTAACTGGAACTATGGGTACCCCCTACCACGCCTGCTCCTTTTTTTGTATTTTAAGTAGAGATGCGGTTTTACCATGTTGACCATGTTGGTTTTGAACTTCTTTTTTTTTTTTTGCCAATCAGTTTGAGCTTATGAGGTTGCTCAGGTTAGCCTTGAACTGATGACCTTGCCTTCGTGAGCACCATGACCTCCGGCGGGAGCCACTTTGGACCCCGGTTTTAAACTTCTAACTTCAGGTGATTTTCCCGTTTTAGCCTCCCATAATGCTGGGATCACCGGTATAAGCCACTGTGCCCAGCGAGTGATTTTCTACATAGAAAGTCATGTCATCTGCAACCACGCACACAGGCACACGCACACACACACACACACACTTTTTTTCTTTTTTTAATTGACACAGAGTTTCGATGTTGTTACCCAGACTGGAGTGCAATGGCAAGATATCGGCTCACTGCAACCTCCGCATTCTGGGTTCAGGCAATTCTCCTGCCTCAGCCTCCTGAGTAGCTGGGATTACAGGCACATGCCACCATGCCCAGCTAATTTTTTATATTTTTAGTAGAGACGGGGTTTCACCATGTTTAACAGGATGGTCTCGATTTCTTGACCTCGTGATCCATCCACCTTGGCCTCCCAAAGTGCTGGGAGTACAGGCGTGAGCCACCGTGCCCAGCCGATGTTTCTTGATCTTTTGAGATGGTGCGGTTTTTATCTGTCATTCTGTGCAAATGGTATATCACATGGATTTGAGTACATTGAACCATCCTTGCAGCCCATGAATAAGTAGAACTTGAATATGTACAATTCCTTTTTGTATTCCCTTGAATACAGTTTGCTAGTACAAGGATCTTCAAGAAGTTCATGGAAAAATACATAATTATGAACAATTTGTGCATGAATTTCACACTGGTTGCACCAAAACAGACCAGAAAAAACTTGTTATAACATGTCTGAACAGGCTATAATTTGAGGCACTCAGAAGGATAAGACCAGAGTTTGAAAAGAGCCTGTATGAGGGGAATACAAATTATGCTAAAATTGAAGCAAGGAGTAACATTAAGTATATGATACAATCAGATGCAGTGGCTCAGGCCTGAAATTCCAGTGCTGTCAGAGGCTGAGGAAGGTGGTTTCCATTAGCCTAGGGTTTCAAGACTAGCCTGGGCGACAGGGGGACCTCCTCTCTGCTAAAAATTTACAAAAAATTGGCCAAGTGTGGTGGTGCACACCTGTGGTCCCAGCTACTCAGGTTGCTCAAGTGGGAGGATGGCTTGAACCAGGGAATTCGACGCTGCAGTGATTCCTGATTTCCGCACTGTACTCCAGCTTGGGTGACAGAGCTGGACCCTGTCTCAAGCAAATAAATGAGAGGCATAATTTCTCCTTTGAAATTAAAGGAAAAAGTTTTCTTTTGTCGCTTTTCTTAGGATATTTATTAACAACCTTTGTAAATGCATTTTCTCTGTCTTCTGAAGTGGTACTTTTCAGACACTAAACGTTTTTTCAGTTTACAAAGGTGATCTGAGGATGTCTTCTTAAAGGACTTAGGAGTTCTGTCTTTGAAATGCAAACAACAAGAAACATAGTACCTCGCAGGGTGTGGTGGCTCATGCCTATAATCCTTGCTTTTTGGGAGGCCGAGGCGGGTGGATCACTAGGTCAAGAGATGGAGACCATCCTGGTCATGGTGAAACCCCATCTCTACTAAAAATACAACAAAATTATCTGGGCGTGGTGGTGCAGCCTGTAGTCCCAGCTGCTCGGGAGGCTGCGGCAGGAGAATTGCTTGAACGCAGGAGGCAGAGGTTGCGGTGAGCCGAGATCGCGCCATTGCACTCCAGCCTGGGTAATAAGAGTGAAACTCCATATGAAAAAAAAAAAAAAACCAAAAACATAGTACCTCTATCTCAGTGGTAAATTAAGTAACTCAAAATTAGGTTGGGTGTGGTGGCTCACGCCTATAATTTCAGTTCTTTGGGAGGCTGAGGTACGGGGATCACCTGAGGTCAGGGGTTCGAGACCAGTGTGACCAACAGAATGAAAGCCCATGTCTACTAGATACAAAACATTAGCCTGGTGTGGTGGCGCATGCGTGTTTTTCCAGTGACTTTGGAGGCTGAGGCAGGAGTATTGCTTGAACCCAGGAGGCAGATGTTGCATTGAGTGGAGATTGTGCCATTGCACTCTAGCCTGGGTAACGAGAGTGAAATTCCATCTTAAAAAAAAGAACACAGCCGGGCACGGTGGTGCAAGCCTGTAATCCTAGCACTTTGGGAGGCCGAGGTGGGTGAATCACGAGGTCAAGACATGGAGACCATCCTGGTCAACATGGTGAAACCCCATCTCTACTAAAAATACAAAAATGAGCTGGGCATGGGGGTTCCCGCCTGTAATCCCAGCTACTCGGGAGGCTGAGGCAGGAGAATTGCCTGAACCCAGGAGGCAAAGGTTGTGGTGAGCCGACATCGCAACATTGCACTCCAGTCTGGGTAACAACAGCGAAACTGCATCTCAAAAATAAAAAAAAGAGGCATGGCCCTCCTTTTTCAACAGTGAAGAGTTCTAGGCCTTTGTTGTTTGCAGGGTGACTGCCACTGAACCGTCTAATTGGTTTTGGAGGTGAGTTATAGAGTCTGCTGTTTCTTCTAGTGATGATTGGAAGTCTCAGGAGAGTGACAGGAAATGTGCTAATGAGGTTTCTAGGCTTCCTGCTTCTAACCTGACTAGTTGTGACTCCGAGGGCTGCTAATAAGGGAATGGACTGCATTGCTCTTTCTGGGCGGATTTGTAGTGCAGCAGGGACAGGGAGTTCCTCTTGGTTCAGAGCGACAAGGTTAATGTTGGGGGTAAAATCGACCAGGGTGTAAGCACCTGTCCAGTGGGTTGTGGGTCCACAGAGGAAGAAGATGCCTGCGGTGTTAATGCAGACAGATGAGCGGATTGAGAATAGGTGTTGGGACGTGTAGTTCCTCGTTTGGAGGGACTCGGTTCAGCTTCAGAAACCCAGAGTGAGGAGGAGAGAGACCCCTTTGAGACCTGCTGTCTGGGGAAGAGGTTTCCATGTTTGAGAGGCAGAAGGGGAGGTAATGCGGAGGGGCTGGGTAAAGAGGCCGTTGGCCTCAGGGGTCACTGAATAATTTACTCAGAGTGAGGTGTGGGAAGAGGGATGACAGATGGTCTGAGTTGAGCCACAGGCAGAAGGAGGGATGGTGCCTACGTGTGTGTGTTGATTCCAAGAGGTGACACATAAGGGGTCCTGGCCAAGTTTCGAGGTGTGGAGGGTGAAGAACTTTGGATGCAGGGGAGGGAGTTTTCCCGGGTTGTAGTTTACAGTGTATGTGGAGTTCGGTTGCTCTGTTAGCAGGGCAGTGGATAGTTTGCAGTGAGAGTGAGGGCTCTGTCTACAAAAGCACAGGCTTTTTGGATGGTGTATAAAAAAGTGAACAGGAGTATGGTAGGAGTATGTTCCCAGGGCTGAGAAACTGAGAGAGCTGAGCAGGCAGTAGAGGAAAGGGACACGCAGGTCCAGCAACGGGAAGCAAATGTAGAGCTGGGGCGCAATACCAAGGAGTGAGTGATCCAGAGAGCGTGGGACCCTCAGTAACAGGGAGTGAGTGATCCAGAGAGCGTGGGACCCTCAGTAACAGGGAGTCAGTGATCCAGAGAGCGTGGGAGCCTCAGTAACAGGGAGTCAGTGATCCAGAGAGCGTGGGAGCCTCAGTAACAGGGACTGAGTGATCTAGAGAGCATGGGAGCCTCAGTAATAAGGACTGAGTGATCCAGAGAGCATGGGAGCCTCAGTAACAAGGACTGAGTGATCCAGAGAGCGTGGGAGCCTCAGTACCAAGGAGTGAGTGATCCAGAGAGTGTGGGAGCCTCAGTAACAAGGAGTGAGAGATCCAGAGAGCGTGGGAGCCTCAGTACCAAGGAGTGAGTGATCCAGAGAGCATGGGAGCCTCAGTAACAAGGAGTGAGTGATCCAGAGAGTGTGGGAGCCTCATTAGCAGGGAGTGAGTGATCCAGAGAGCGTGGGAGCCTCAATAACAAAAAGTGAGAGATGCAGAGAGCATGGGAGCCTCAGTACCAAGGAGTGAGTGATCCAGAGAGCGTCGGAGCCTCAGTACCAAGGAGTGAGTGATTCAGAGAGTGTGGAAGCCTCAGTAACAAGGAGTGAGTGATCCAGAGAGCGTCGGAGCCTCAGTACCAAGGAGTGAGTGATCCAGAGAGTGTGGAAGCCTCAGTAACAAGGAGTGAGTGATCCAGAGAGCGTGGGAGCCTCAGTAACAAGTGTGAGAGATCCAGAGAGTGTGGGAGCCTCAGTACCAAGCAGTGAGTGATCCAGAGAGTGTGGAAGCCTCAGTACCAAGGAGTGAGTGATCCAGAGAGTGTGGAAGTCTCAGTAACAAGGAGTGAGTGATCCAGAGAGTGTGGGAGCCTCAGTACCAAGCAGTGAGTGATCCAGAGAGTGTGGGAGCGTCAGTAACAAGGAGTGAGTGATCCAGAGAGCGTTAGAGTCTTGTAGAAGTCATAAGGGAGTCTCAGGGGTCAGAGGCAGTGGGGCTGACTGTTAAAAGAGTTAGGAACTTGAGGAAGAATTGGAGTTTGTATTTGGGGGAAGGAGCTGAGGGGTTGTATGGGGAGGTGGTCTCCTGTAGCAGTGAGGCTTTTTCAGTGGGGAAATATTGGGGCTGGGTGGTGGGGGTAACCAGGAGGAGCTGGGCAGGGTCAGAAGGAAGGGAGGCTTCTTTTGCTGCTTCATTGACCTTTCTGTTTCCTCTTGAGATGTCATCTGACCCTGTGTGGTGCCCTCCACAGTGTGTAACTCCTGTTTTAGCCAGGAGGCATGCAGTCTGGAGGAGTTGGTAAAGGGGGTTCCTTTGGCAATAAGAAATCCTCTCTCTTGCCAGACGGAGAATGTGATAGGCATATTTGGACTTGGTAAAAATGTTGACTTTGCCTTTGGAGAGGGTTAGGGCCCTGGTGAGAGCTGTAAGTTCTGTGTTTTGGGAGGAGGTCCCTGGGGGCAGGGGTCTGGCTTTAGTTAAAGGCGATGACTGCATCCCCAGGGATTTTATGGAGCTGACTGACTTGGAAGAGAAGCCATCTAAAATAACTGGTTGTCAGGACTGGGGAGAGGTTTAGGGGAGCTCTTAGAAAATTAGGCTGTAGGTGATCAAGGATTTGTGGGAGAAAAGGAAGATACTGGGAGTAGAGATGGAGGATTGAGGGAGCACTTTTGGAGGAGTGGAACTCAGTTTTTAAGAAACGGCATGGAGTGGTTGGATTGGGGAATAAGAAAGTGTGCTCAGTGCTCGGGAGGAGAGGAGGCTTTGCAGATGATGTGGCTGTGCACTGTGGTGTTTTGACCGAATGATTTTTGCTTTCTAAGGCTAGGGTGGCAGCTGCTGCTGGGGCTTGGAGGCAGGTCATCCGCCTTCCGGCGGTGGTGTCTAGCTGTTTACGGAGGTGATCTATAGGTGTGAAGGGAGGAGGACTTTTTTGTTAGCCAAAGACACCAAGGGCTATTCCCTGGTTTTTCACAGTGTGGAGAATGAAGGGCTGAGAGATGTCAGGCACAGACAGAAGAAGCAGTTTAAGTTTGTGGAAGCTAGGGATTATATTTCATGATGGAAGTAGATGCTTAATTAGAGGGCCTCTAGCCCCTCCACAGAGTGGGCAGGTGAGGAGAGCAAAATTGGGAATTCATATTCTGAAGAAGCTTGCTAGTCCTAGGAAAGAAAGAATTTCAACCCCGTCTTAAAAAAATAAAAAAGGCTGGGTGTGGTGGCTCATGCCTGTAATCCAAGCTCTTCAGGGGCCAAGGCAGGCGGATCACCTGAGGTCGGGCGTTCAAGACCAGCCTGACCAACATGATGAAACCCCGTCTGAAAAAAATAAAGGATTTCACCTTTAGAAGTGGGTAGGGGTAGGCTGTCTGTCAGTGCTGCTCGTGCTGGAGTCGTGGTTTGGGCCCTGGTGGAGAGCTGCACTCCTGAGTACATCACTGTTGGAGTGAAGAGTTGGGCTTTGGAGGGGGAAACCCTATATCCTTCACTAGCAAGAAAGTTTACAAGGGTAATAGTCTGAGTCTGAGAGTCCTCTAAAGTAGAGCTACAGGGGAGGAGGTTGTCCAGGTACTGGAGGAGCCAGCCAGGAGAGAGGTCTAGGGAGGTGAGATCTTGAGCCCGAGCTTGTCTGAAGAAATGGGGGCTCTCTCTAAAGCCTTGGGAGAAGACTGTCAAAGTAAACTGTGAGTGGAGAAGAACAAGATCTGAAAATAGAAAAAAACTACCCTTAATAGGGCTTCCTGTAAGACATTCTTATCTCTGCATAATATCTGCTGCAGCGGGCCGAGGACCATCTTTCCACAAGGTGAGGTGTCCCCTGTGTGTGTGTTTTGTCACAGAAAAAGAGTGAGTGGTTTCTAAACGTTAAATAATGATCGGGCACGATGGTTCATGACTATAATCCCAGCTCTTTGGGAGGCTGGAGTGAGCAGGTCAGGAGATTGTGACCATCCTGGCCAAGACGGTGAAACCCCGTCTCTCTTAAAAATACAAAAAGTAGCTGGGTTTGTGCTTGTGATCCCAGCTCCTGGGGAGGCTGAGGCAGGAGTATCACTTGAACCTGGGAGGCTGAGGTTACAGTGAGCTGAGATGCTGCCACTGAACCCAAGCTTGGCAACAGAGTTAGACTTTGTCTCTAAATAAGTAAATAAATAAATTTCATATTTTTTTCACATACAGGATTGATTTCCAAAGACTCATGTTGCGAGAGGCAGCCTCCAGGAAGAGCAAAAACAAAAGAGGAGCCCGGGATGCCTCCTCCTCAGGTAAAGTCATTGTCCTCTGTGGATCATTCTTTTTTGTTGTTGTTTCTGAAATGCCAGGTTTGTAGTAGCCGGTCTTCTGTGAGTCTGAAGCGTCCTGCCTGGCACGTGTGCTCACACTCACTCATGCCTTTTCTCAGTGCCTCTCATCTCCACTTAGATTCCATCTCCTATAACCCAGTGACGTGAGCTTGGGAAGAGGCTGCACTGGGCATGGTCCTGGGAAGGGCTCTCCCCAGACATGGATGGAGACGGCGTGTGGGCCTTGTGCTGTCTGTGGTGCTGGGCAGCAGGGAATGTTCAGGGGCCACATCTGGATGCACATGAAGCTCTTTGTGGGCCAGATCGGAGAAACTCTCTATGACAGTCATACATTAATGTGCACTGGTATCTGGAGGGGAAAAGGAGACACGTTAGAGGAGCTATTTAGTGTCTGATTTCGTAACGCATTTGAAGCTACACTAGTGAGTCAATATGTCTCTGACTCCAAATTTTTCTTTCTTATTTGAGATGGCGTTTCGCTCTTGTTACCCAGGCTGGAGTGCAATGGCGTGATCTCGGCTCACCGCAACCTCCGCCTCCTGGGTTCAGGCAATTCTCCTGCCTCAGCCTCCTGAGTAGCTGGGACTACAGGCACGTGCTACCATGCCCAGCTAATTTTTTTTGTATTTTTAGTAGAGACTGGATTTCACCATGTTCACCAGGATGGTCTCTATTTCTTGACCTCG